AGGTTCTTTGGGATTGGTGTTTAAAAAAACCCAAATCCAAGAGCTATGAATTAAATTGTATTCATTATACAGGGCCTGGCACAAATAACAGCCCCTTTTTATTACATAAAACTCTTTTATTACAAAATCATAAGCATGTGATTTGGTAACATGACAATGTCACACTCAAGCCCACCATTTGACATCTTAGGTGAAATGTTCAAGTTGCTGTCCATCCTGTGTGAGACATTCACATACCCCACCAACCACATTCAATGGCATCACTTCTGCCGGACTCTGTGTTACTTTTATAATTCTATATCCTAATTTGTATTTTGCCTACTTTGTGTGTTCAGACTGATACTATATTAAAGTCTGCCAGCACATTGTATCATTGCCAATGCCTCTGAATTCTATTTTACTTGAGGTACTTTTATACAATGTCACTCACTGCATACAATTGCTATGTTTGTTTTCAGTTTTTCTTTTAACATAAAACCACCTTCTTAATCCTGGTGTGTGGCTTTATTCTTTTTTTTTAATTTTTAGAAAGGATTTTACTTATTTTTAGAGAGAGGGGAAGGGAGGGAGAAAGAGAGGGAGAGAAATATCGATTGGTTGACTTCCAGCCAAGATGGAGGCATAGGTGGAAATACTGTACCTCCTTGCACAACCAGGCTTAAGGACAACAAAGATTTAGAAACAAAAACACAACCAAAACAGACAGAAAATTGAACTGGACCAAAGTCTGACAACAAGGAACCATTCATCCAGACCAGTAAGAGGGGTGGAGTCGGCGGCTGGAGGAGAGGGGTCCTGGCAGGAAGAGGTGGTGGTTAGGGGACCCCAGCCGGCACGGGGACAAAAACCCAGCAAGGCTCGAAAGGCGTGGCCGGCTGACCACGGATACACATTCACACACAGATAAACTAGGCAGGTTTAAAAACAGTCAGTGAGACAGACCATGCAACCCAGGGACCCAGTGACGGGAAATAAAGCCTAAAATCACCCATTAGAAAAACTTTCCGGGGTTGAGGTGCCAAGAGAGGCTCCCAGCCTCACAGGAGAGTTCATTGGAGACATCCACAGGGTCCTAGAACATACACAGTCCCACCTACCCAGGAACCAGAAGGCCCTAATTTGCTTGTGGGAAGCAGCAGCAGGGACCAAAATCCAAAAGACAGAGGAACAAGCGCCATTTCTCCCTCTGATCCTGCCCCCACATACAGCGTACCAACCCAGCAAATGGGTTGCCCTGCCTTGGTGAACACCTAGGCTCCACCCCTCATGCTCAACAGGCACAAACAGACCAAAACATAATGGTTCAAGCAGAAGAACAGCTCAAAGCCCCAGAGCCGATAACTCTAAGTGACCAAGAAATAGCCAACCTATCAGATGTACAGTTCAAAACACTGGTGATCAGGATGGTCACAGAATTGGTCGAATTTAGTCGCAAATTAGATGAAAAAATGAAGGCTACACTAAGTGAAATGAAGCAAAATGCACAGGGAACCAATAGTGATGAAAACCAAACTGGGACTAAAATCAATGGAGTGGATGAGAAGGAAGAAAGAAACAACCAAACAGAAAAGAATGAAGAAACAAGAATTCAAAAAAAATGAGAAGAGGCTTAGGAACTTCCAGGACATCTTTAAACATTCCAACATCCGAATCATAGGGATACGAGAAGGGGAAGAGGAAGAGCAACAAGTGGAAAACTTATTTGAACAAATAATAAAGGAGAACTCCCCCAATCTGGCAAAGGAAATAGACTCCCAGGAAGTTCAGGAAGCTCAGAGAGTCCCAAAGAAGGTGGACCCAAAGAGGAACACGTCAAGGCACATCATAATCATATTAGCCAAGATTAAAATGAAGGAGAGAATTCTAGAAGCAGCAAGAGATAAGGGGACAGTCACCTACAAAGGAGTTCCCAACAGACTGTCAGCTGATTTCTCAAAACAGACCTTACAGGCAAGAAGGGGCTGGAAAGAAATATTCCAAGTCATGAAATGCAAAGACCTACATCCAAGATTGCTCTATCCAGTAAAGCTTTCATTTAGAATGGAAGGGCAGATAAAGTGCTTCTCAGATAAGGTCACGTTGAAGGAGTTCATCATCACCAAGCCCCTATTATATGAAATGTTAAAGGGACTTACTTATCTAAGAAAAAGAAGATAAAAATATGAACAATGAAAGGACAGCAAACTCACAGTTATTAACAACCACACCTAAAACAAAAGCAACTAAGTGGACAGCTAGATCAGGAGTGGAGCCATAGAAATGGAGATCATATGGAGGGTTAGCAACAGGGGAGTGGGAGGAGGAGAAGGGGGGAGAAGGTACAGAGAATAAGTAGCATAGACGGTAGGTAGAAAATAGACACAGGGGAGGGCAAGAATAGTAGGGGAAATATAGAATCTAAAGAACTTGTGACACATGGACATGAAGTAAAGCAAGGCAATGTGGGGGGAATGAAGGGGAGAAATGGGACAACTCTAGTGGCAAAATCAATAAAATAAAAGAAAAAAAAGAAACATTGATTGGTTGCCTCTCCCACGCAAACCAAACCTACAACCCAGGCATGTTCTCTGACCAGGAATTGAGCCAGCGACCTTTTCTTTTGCAAGATGACATCAAATCCACTGAGCCACACTGGTCAGGGCATAGCTTTATTCTTAAATTCTCCATTGCTGGGTACAAACATGACCACTCTGATTTTCTGTTTGTTTCTGTATGTTGGCTGTATCATCGAGGGGCTCCTGCTGTCTGTCACAGGTGGGCGCAGGTAACCAGGTTCTTGGTGATTGGGACAAAGAATTGAACCGAACACACACCCAGAGTTTATAGCAGAGAACATGGGAGCAGGCCAACTCCAAGCAGAGACTGACCTCATGGGCTGCAGGAATTCTATTGTTATAGAGCAGATCCTTCCTGGCTAGTTTTGGCAGGCTTTTATTGCACATGTGGTCTCCCATGATTTTCCCTGACTGGCCACTGGAGAAGGGGTTGCACAATGTTACTGAATGGACCCCCCCTTCTCCTGGGGTCCCCCATACTAGATTTGCTTTGCCTGCTGCCAGAGAATTATAGCTCCTGATGTCAGAGATAGATAAAAAGAAAAGGAATTATTTTTTTAAAAGTTACACATAATGACTTAATGTCTTCATTAAAACCCCAAAGTCTCTTAAAACATCCACATCCACACACAATCCTTCCTTCCCTTCTTTTCCTGGTCTGGGGTACCATATCCCAGGAAAAGAAATAGAAGTCTGTGGCTCAGGCAGCCCCCAGTTCTTCCCAGTAATCCGTGCTGGGCTGGCAGGCCTCCCATGGTTCCCAGCACCATCAGCTGTGTCACGGGGATCTCCAGCTGATGGTGCTGGGATCTTAATTCAAAACCACATTGCACCTTCTCATGGCCCACCAGCAAGGGTTCTTTCACCCCTTTTCTTACCACAGTTTCTCTCCTGCATTCTTCCAAACTGCTCAGAGAGAGCTCTGCATCTTGCTTTCCGGCTTCCTAAGCTGCGTGGCAAAGGGAGACCCAAAGCCAAGTGGTTCCTCTTGTCCTGGCTGCTGCACCTGGGTTTAAATACCAGCACCAATCTTCCTCTGCAGCTTCATTTCCAACTCCTCCCATAATTGGCTACACCTGCCAGCATTCCGTATTTTTCTAGCTTTTCTGGGATGCCATAGTAAATCTGGGCAGGTGTGGCTCCATGGCTTGGGGCAAATCACCTCCAAGCTCTCATGCAGGCTCTGTAACCAGGGGGAGTTGCCTCCCACTTGCATCCTGGATGGAAGTCACTCCTATCTCTCTGTCTCAAAGCATGGCTACAGCTGTTTAACATATCTATGAAACCAGTTAAAGGTTATAGATACATTAAATGACAGTTCTAGAGGTTATTTGCAAAACTGTTGCTATTCAAAACAACTCTCAGTGGCCTTGCTCCATGTGTCCCATGCCCTAGTTCAGAATTGTGGGGGTCCCATATTTTTAATATTCCCTGGACACCCTGAGCTCTGGACCCCATTACAAATCCTTCTTTGTGGGGACCCCTGGCTGCACCCCCTTACACTGCTGTGAATATTTCTGTCACTAAGTGTGCTCTTCACAAGTAACAAAGGATTGAATGCTAGTTCATAACTGAGCTGCAAACATTAGTTAATAAAGGAAAGTTTGAATTTTTCTTATTTTTTGTTGCAATTTCTGTGCTTGGTTTCTGTTTCCATTCTATTTACTCCTTTGCTGGGTGGACCGATTTGTTTGTTGGTGTCACTTTATCTGCTCAGTGATTTTGAAGGTAGTTATCCTGTTTTCAATGGTCAGTAGTTAATTCAAGGTTGGAAAAAATCTTGAACTTTTTTTTAATTATCATAGATAAAAAACCAGAATGATAAATTTTAATTTTTTTATGGGATATTGGCCTCGCCCATGTCCCCTTAGTCTGCACCATTTCTGCCCCCTTTAACCCAAGGACATTCTTTTTCTTTGTTAACCTCTCTGAGGCATGACGTCTTACCTTTTCCAAAGGACACAGATGATTTCTTTCCCTGTTTTTTTTCTTCTAATTTTAATTTCAAACTATATTCATTATAACTAAAGCCTCTCTCCATGGCTTCCTGCTGTTAATGCTCCAGCATCAAGCCTTTCCACTTTGATGCTTTCATTCTTCATTGTCATTGCTTCTTGGGGGTCTACATTGTGTTGCCTCTTGGAGGAAATGCTTTCGTGGAAGCCACATGTACCTAAGGGTGGCTTTCTGCAAACTTCACACCTGACCAACAACCCGATCAGGTGTGAAATTCTGTGTTTAAATGCTCCTCCCTCTGACGTCTTCTGATGTTCATGATTGTTTTTCAGAGAGGTTCCCGAGGAGCTGGGTTTGTTATTCACGGATGTGTGTAAGGATCTCTGTTAATGACATTTAAAGATGTAAATGACACCCCAGGGAGTGGCTGGCTGTCTTTCCACTATTTTGCATGAAACATACTTCCTCTTATTCAAGTTCTTGTCTTCTCTGTGGTTGAATTCAGCCCCACCTCTCAGGCACTGAGCTGCTGCTGACTGACCAAGGTCATCTTGGTCAGTTCAGACCTGATTTGCTTGACCCATGACCTTTCCCCATTCAATCCTATTTCCTTACTGGTGTGAGGCTGGGACCAGGGTCCAGTCAAATCCTTCTATGAGGCCAAAGGACCCACCAACCTGCTGCAGAAAGATAATGCACCGCAGATGGTCCTGCTGGAGGCAGTTGCTGGGCACGGCACCCCTGTGGCCAGTGCCACACTAACCAGATTCCGACATCAACGGAAGCATTGGGATGGCCTCTACGGTGGCTGCCAGGCAGCTGCTCCAAGCCCAGCTCTGCCCCGCAGCACCACAGCGAAGCAGATGCTGAGGCCTTGCTCTTCCTGGGCTGCTTCAAGCCAGTGCCTGAGCCTGGTGGAGGTGCCTGTCCTGGGTGAGTTTTGCTGAACCTGGGACCCCTCCAATGGGCACCCCGTGCTTAGGGGCTCCCTGTAGTTGACCTGATGTTCTCAATCCCCAGTGTGAGGGTGTTGGGGAGTGGGAATTTGGGGAGGTGATTAAGTCAAGGGAGAGCCCTCATGGATGAGATTAGTGCCCTTCTACAAGAGTGCAGAGAACCCACTCACCCTTCCTGCCATGTGAGGACACAGTGAGAAGTGGGTAGTCTGCACCCTGGAAGAGGGCCCTCACCTGACCATGATGGCAGCTTGGTCTTGAACTTGCAGCCTCCAGGGCTGTGAGAAAGAAGTTTCTGTTGTTTATAAGCCTTCCATTGTGTGGTATTCCATCACAGCCACCCAAACTAAGATCGCTATCCACTTCGACAGAAAACTTCACAATGACATCCCAAAATTGGCCACACTTTTAAGGATGACCTGGCCAGGGCTTGCCTAGAACCCTTGTCTTTGGCCCAATCAGAAGCTCTGGCTTGCCAGCATTCAGCACCCCTATGCAGCGTGCCCCCCACACGGCCTTGGTCCTCTGGTCCCTGGGACCAGTTCTAGTTTCCTCACCTGTCTAGAGGCCTTTCTTTGCCCTGTGGAGACCTCAAGCCCTTACTTCATTCCCTCTGGGAAGGTCCTTCCTTCCATACTTCTCTCCGTTTTCTGCTTGGTTTTATCCTTGGGGTAGCAAGATTTACAACATCTCCACACCCTGTATCTTCCCAATTTCAAGTTGAAGGAAGAGCCCCATCCTCCTTCCTAGAAACCCATGCAACAACTTCACTGCTTTTCATTGCCTCTGGGTGAGTCAGATGTCCACCCTGGAACCAAAGAACCAGTCCGTCAGGCAGGGTCGACTCTGCTGAACCTTCAGGAGTGTGGGTAGAAGACAGCAGCGAGAAAGAGGGCTCCGGGCAGCCCTGCCTTGGTTTCCATGTCTTCAACTACGTTTAATTCTCTCTTTGCTTACGCCAGTTTGGGTCAGGGTTTATGTCATTGTTCCTACTTTCAACAGAAGGAGCTCTGCTAGAAAAAAGGACAGATGTTCATTCATAGTTTCATTTTCATAAAAGAGGTGCACACATGTATGCATGTGTGTGTGAGAGGGAAAAAGGTCTGGAAGGACATTCATGAAAGAGGAACAGTGGTTATATCTCAGCAGCAGAATTACAGGCAAGTTTGCTTTGCTCTCATTGTTATTTGATGAGCATGAATTGCTATGTGATACAAGGGAAATGTTTACTATTCTTGACAAAGTCGATGGAACCCATCCCTTGTAGAGAGTGAGAGGAACTTCATCTAACCCATTGTTGATGTTGCAGGGAAGAACATGAACTGGTCCAACGAAAGTGGAAACTGCTCCTCTGCTTCCATGGACGACCTGATGCAAACCGTGCAGGTGGTGGTCCACATCCCCACCTTTCTCCTGGGCCTAGTCCTCAACCTGCTGGCCATCCGGGGCTTCCATGCCTTCCTGAGGAAGAGGTTGCTGGAATATGTCGCCACTTGCATCTACATGATCAACCTGGCAGCCTTTGACCTGCTGATGGTGCTCTCCCTCCTGTTCAAGATTGTCCTGGTCTACGTGCAGGCTCCCTTTCCGTCCCTGTGTAGCTTGGTGGAGTGCCTCCACTTCATCAGCATGTACGGCAGCATCTTAACAATCTGCTTCATCAGCCTGGATAGATACTTGGCCATCCAGTACCCATTCCTGGCCAGCCACTGCCGGTCCCCCAGGAAGATCTTTGGGATCTGCTGTGCCATCTGGGTCCTGGTGTGGGCCGGGAGTATCCCCTTCTACAGCTTCAGTCAGGGAGAAGAAAGGTATAAGTGCTTCAACAATATGTCCATTAAGGTCTGGAGTGCCAACATTGTCTTTCCTGTCGAGGTGTTTGGCTTCCTTCTTCCCATGGGCATCATGGGCTTCTGCTCCTTCAAGAACATTCGCATTCTGGTCAGCCAGCAGGACACCACCCTGGACCTGGACCGGAAGGGGAGGGCCTGCATCTGGACTATCGCGTGCAATCTGGCTGTTTTCGTGCTCTCCTTTCTTCCAGTACACATAGGTTTCTTCTTGCAGTTCCTGGTAAGAAATGAGTTTATTGTGGAGTGTGGAGCTCAGCAGAACATCACCTTGTTTTTGAAATTGTCCATGTGTCTCTCCAATGTCAACTGCTGCCTGGATGTTTTCTGCTATTACTTTGCCATCAAAGAATTCCACATAGGCATCAGGGCCCAGCAGAACACCAGAGACCAGCTGGGGCTGGACTTCTTGCAGACCAGGACTACTGTGGCTGGGGAGAGAAAGCTCTCCGCAGAGAAAGGAAACTGCAGCCCTGGATCCTAGTGGCAGACATCCTGTTCCAGGACCTTGTCGGGGTGGGAAGATGCGTGGTGCGTGCCTAGTGTGCTCTCCATTTAGATGCTCAGTGAACGCTGTGTCTGCTCATTATGCCCCCAGAGCCCTCCCCGCACACCCAGACGGCTCAACATAAATCACCCAGTGTTTGGAGATTTCTGATGAATCTGAGAACCAGGTGAATTCTTGACCTCTAAGTCCATAAAGAGTGAGGCAGAAAAACGAGAAAGAAAATGGGACCATCTGAACAAGGCTACCTCTCCCCTATCTTCTGCTAGGCTGGAAGTTTCCAGAAAGGAAGAGAGAGAGGAGTTGGAAGAGAGAATTGAGGTTGGCCGTGGTGGCAGGTGCCCTGGGCTAAGACACAGTGCTGGGTGAAAGGGCAAAGCCAGCTCCATTTGCTGTTGTGGCACTATTTGCTTAGCAGCCTGAGACCTTGTTAAACAGGACGGCCAGTTCACTCTTCTGAGCTTGTCCCCAGGACTGGAGATGACTGGAAATGACTGGAGAGCAAGGACAGCATGACTGACCGCTCCCTGCAGCCATGGGCAGAGGATGACATTGGAACAAATGGCAGCCTCCTGTTACGACCCACAGCCCAGGGGCCACACAGCAGCAGCGCCCCTCCCGACCCTTTGTAATCTAATTATAATCCAGTAATAGCTCAGAGCCCCCCTCCTCAATGGCCCTCTCCCCTCTTGGAGAGTGAAAAAAAGCTCTTCTCCGCGCTTTCTTCTCCTCGTGAATTATTTCCCAGCCTGTGCCACCACCTGCCTGACAGTAGGGATGTAGCGAGCTCCTTTTGAGTTTGTGGGTCCTGGGGTGAGCATACTTGTATTTTCCAGTCCCTTCTAGGGCTCTGTTGGCCAATGACCTTGCAGAGATGACAGCAAGTGGTGGTGGTGGTGGGGTGATCATAGTGGAGCAAATACACACAAAGAACCCCAAGTTTCTTACAGGCTTTTAAAAGGCCGGGGAAACCCAGGAGAATGTTGCAGAAGAGAGAGGGGAGCTGGTGTGGCAAAGCCGCAGATACTTTGTGGAAGCAGTGGTGACAGAGTGGGTAGCTGTTGGTGACACCCGAGAGCCAGGAGGGTATAGAATACACCTGGGGAAGGACGGACACAGGCCAAGGGCAGCTCCTGCCCCACTGCTATGGGGTTGTCCACTGCCCAGAGTTTTAGCACTGGCCTGGGGGGGGAGAGGCAGGGTGACAAGCCTGGGGGAAAGGACCTCCCTGAACCTGACCAGCTTGCTCTCTTGAACGGGTTCATTACACTTAGTTTCCTTGAGAATGATGAGAAAGAATCAGGCTCGATTTGGTTCAGCCAGAGGAGGATAAGGAGCACATGTTCGTCTTGCCCACCTGCGTCCTGGCTGGGGACCTGGCCACAGTGGCACTGTCCGGGGCGCTGTCCTCTCCAGTGTCCAGGGAGGGGGAGACAACGAGTCAGCCAGGAATGGAGGGCCCAGCTTGCTGGCACGAGGCTCTTGGCAGTTTCTAGCTGGAAACTGGAAACCACTGAATCGTGGCCTGGCTGGGACCCTGTGGTGATCAGAAAGAGCAGCAGTGACAGCTGAGAGCCTTCGATGACCCAGTGGCTCCAGAGAGAAAAAACGATGACAAGGATTCATTAAACAAAACAGCCCGGTAGTTTTGCAAGATGGAGTGAGCAGGAGGAGAAGTGACAGAGAGAGACAAAGGGAAGGCCTTCTGGGAGAAGAGCAACAACCTCCTAACTGAGGGATAAGAGCTTCCACTGCCAAGCGCTGGACGGGAGGGAGGGGTGGCCGTGTGGGGGGAAGAGGCAGTTTGGAGAAAACTCTGACGGGAGGAAGAGGTGAGGCCCGCAACTGCCCAAGCCTCCATGATGTGGAGTTCTGTGCGGAGGTGGGGCGAGCAGGAAGGACAGAGGGCCCAGCCGCTCCCCACCGGACACTCCCCAGCTTGACGGAGAGCGCTGGAAGGGCAGGAGTCCTGCTGCCCCCCTGCAGCTGACTCACTGGTGAGGGGCCGCTCTGTGGGGCAGGAGGGAAGGGTGAGGAAGAAAGTATCAGTGCCCGGGTGTCGATGGGTGGGCAGGACTGATCCTGCCGAGGACCTCCTGCCCCTTAAACCAGACCTCCAGGGGCCAGCAGCCAGAGCCAGGGGCTCTACAGAGCTAGAAGTGAGTCTTGCACAGCTTCCCCAAGCCCTGGGCACTGCTGTCCCTCCTGGAGGCCGCACTGTCCGTGGCCGTCCTGGACAGAGACACACCTGTGCCACCCTGAGGAAGCCAGGCTGTGGTACCCGGCAGGACATGTGGGGCCAGGCTGGGCTCAGAGCCCAGGGGCGGGTGGGACTGGGGACCACCCCACCTCCGATTTCTCCTTTTGCATTGGGAACTGGGAGCTTACCAACGGGTGCCTTCCATGCTGCAGTTTGTACCCACCAGTGTGCTCGGGGCCAGACAGTCCTCCTAAGAGAAAGGGACGCCGGGCCCTGCACACCCTTCACCCCCAGTGTTGTTTGTACACATGAAATCTTGGACTGTGGGGGCAGCGTGGCCCTGCCCAAGCCAGGTGACGGGGAGGGGAGACTTGTCTCAAGAGGTGTGTGACTATGCAGAGAGAGAGAGAGAGAGCTGTGTAACCGGAAGGTCTAGGCCCTGGGAGGGGTGTAGCCGCCTTGAGTCGATACGACATGTTGGACTAGCGGGTGGTGCCTGGGGACCCCTTGACCGATCCCAATACACGGAGGGGAGGAGAAGGGCCCTTCGGTCTCCTCATGGGGACTCACCTTGGCCTGAGAGTCACAGAGGACTCATCAGGGTCCAGCCCTGTGTCAGCACTTGGACCCCTTGGGCAAAAGGAGGGGCAGAGGGTCAGGGTCAGGCTACAGATGCATCTGAAGGCCCTATCCTGCTGCAAGTGGTAGCCAGTGACTTGGAAAGCCTTGAACTTAGTTTTGGAAAAGGCTAAAGTTCCTGCTCCTAAAGCTAGTGGAACTTGGAGATGTTTGGCCATAAATGTGACCTTATTTGTACTCCTAGAAAACCTGAGCCATACTTCTTACTTGTATATGTGTGAAATTAGCACAATTAATTGGAAAAATTACTTGATTCATCTGATTTGCCAAATGAATAGATTCCCGTGGTGCCGTGTGACCTTGTCTTGGGCTGTACTTACTGGCTCCTGAGTGTCCTTGCCAGGTGTCCCAGCAGTCAGCGTTGGAGGGACAAGATCGAAGGGGCCACCTGGACACCAAGCATGCAAGCACAGAGAGTCACCTTCAGGCCTGGCCCGGGGGCAGAGTCGCTGGCCCCAAGTGGCCAGGAGCCAGAGCCTGCAGGGTCTAACAGCGACTCCCCAGGTCCTCTTGGGTCCTTGGTTCTCTGGGGTGGCGACGGCACCACACAGACCCCACAAGCCCTGCTGGGCTCCCTCCAGCACCAGACCCACCCCTGTCTCCTGCCGCCTCAGCCCATCAGCTCCAGGAGACAAAGCCGCTCTCCAAGGCCCGGGCTCCTCTGCTTACGCCGTGCAGCCCAGCCCAGCAGACCTGCTGGCACGGCCCTCTGGAAGCCCCCACTGCTCTGCTGCCCACGGAACCGGGCCACCTGTCCCCAGTCAGATCTGGATCTGCCTTCACGGCTCCTCACACACAAACCCTGCTAACCCTTCTAGACCTCCTGGAAAATGTATCTGCTGGACACTGGCCCCCCCGCCCTCCCTCCTGAGCTCCCCACACTCCTGAGCACCGCCAGTCACAGCGTGGGTGCCCAGGACCAGCTGCGCACGTCCTCATTCCCTCACAGTTGCTGTGGACTGAGCCGCTTCCCCCTCCCTCACGCATACGTGGAAGCCCTGATCCCCAATGTGGTGGGGACCTTGGGAGATACTTAGGTTTGCACAAGGTCCTAAGGGCGGAATCCTCACAATACTCCCCGTGTAAAAAGAAACACCAATTTAATTTAAAAAATAAAATAAAAAAAGCCCTGGCTGGTGTAGCTCAGTGGATTGAGCGCGGGCCTGCGAACCAGAGTGTTGTGGTTCGGTTCCCAGTCGGGGCACATGCCTGGGTTGCAGGCCAGTTCCCAACAGAGGATGCACAAGAGGCAACCATACATTGAGATTTCTCCCCCTCTCTCCTTTCCTTCCCCTCTGAAGATAAATAAATAAAGTCTTTAAAAAAGGGGGGGGGGTACTTAAGTTTAAAAAATAAAATAAAATAAAATAAAATAAAATAAAATAAAATAAAATAAAATAAAATAAAATAAAATAAAATAAAATAAAATAAAATAAAATAATATAAAAGCTCTGGCTGGGTGGCTCAGTTGGTTGGACCATTGTCCTCTACACCAAGAGGTTCTGGGTTCAATTTCTGGTCAGGGCACATACCGAGGTTGCAGGTTCGGTCCTCAGTCAGGGTGCATACAGGAGGCAATCAATCAACGTTTCTCTCTCACATTGATGTCTCTCTCTCTCTCTCTCTCCCTCTGAAAAATCAATAAATGGTCCTGGTCAGTGTGGCTCTGTTGGTTGGAGCATCGTCCCATAAACGGAAAGACAGCCGGTTTGATTCCTGGTCAGGGCACACGCCTGGGCTGCAGGTTCGGTCCCGGTCGGGGTGCGTGCGAAGGCAGCCTCTCCCACACACGTGTTTCTCCTTCTCTCTCCCTGCCTTCCCCCTTCTCTGAGATCAATGAGCATGTCCTCGGGTGCGGGTAAAGAAGAAAGGAAAATCAATGAACATAGTCTCTGGTGACGATTAAAAAAAGAGCAAGAGAAACCAGAGCACTTCCTTCCTCTCTGTCTCTACAGCTGCACTCAGGGGACAAAAGCCATGCAAGGACACGGGAACAAGGCGGCTGCCTGTGACCTGAGGAGACCGCCCCGAGCAGCTATCAGCGCTGCTGGCTCCTTGACCCTGGCCTTCCAGCCTCCAGGACCATGAGAAATACATTTGTGTTGTTAAAGCGCCCCCCGCCCCCCATCTGCAGCCCACTGTTTGGCAGCCCAGGAAGGCTCCTGCAGCAGTCAGAGACCCCTTCCAGCTGGGCCCCGAGCCCTGAGGGACAAGAACGGACCCTCCCTTGGGCTACTGCCCCCAGGGAGCATCTGGTGTGGCGATCGCTCATCTACAAGCTGCGTCTGCCAACCGTGTCCCTCCTGAGTCCCTCTCTGGGAACCCTACGAAGCTGGGCGTCACTATATTAATGCCGCACTAGTGTGACGGGGCACTGATGGCATTTCGATAGTTAAGACGCAGTCTGGTGGCGAGTTGCCACAAATAAACGGTAATTGCACCGAGGAGGGAAGTAGCTGAGACTTGGTGATCGACTGCAGAGACTAGAGGAGGAAAGGATTTTGTGAACAGGTCCTGGACGGAGGACAGAAACTGGGAAGAGCCACGGTGCAGGCGTGAGGCCAGCCTGGCGTGCAGAACAGTAACCAGGGGTGAACAGAAGTGTTCCCCCCATATGAACCGTGTGGATGTGTTGGAGAAGCCCACACCGCACGCCCCTCAGTCCCTCCTAGGGGTGGGCTGTGGACAGCAACCTTCCAGGGCCTTGGAGAGGCAGCTGAGGCCACTCTGAGTGCCCCACTGATGAGGGGACTCAAAGGCCCACAGGTGACGCTTTTGGGGGTGGCAGCCACCTCTCGCTTTTTTCCACCCAGAGCTGGCTCCGCCAGGGAGCCAGGGACACAGAGCTCTGAATGGGCATTTGAGGAGGTGTGTATGGCAGGCGAAGGTGGACTTTAGGACCTTCAAGTGGAAAACAGATGTCCCTCCTCCCCCACTCAGGCCTAAGCATCCCATCCCCCACCAGGAGCCTGTGAGGTTTGTCCCCTCACAAAGCCACTGTAGGAGGGGCCACATAGCATTTGAATTGCTGGCCGGCCAGCCGAGACCTAAACTTGGCTCTCAGCTATTCTAAGTTTTTCAGAGCTAGAATTCGAAGCACTGTCACTTCAAAGCCTGACATTAATTAGTTCTGCTTGGTGGAGGGCCGCTGAGTTCACACTGAGGTCTCTGGCAGCTTTTGTTCTGGGGCTGTTGCTGGAGCAGATGTAACCAAGACGCTGTCGGCGAGCAGGGCTGCTGAGACGGGCGCCCACAGTCACGAACCGGCGCCCGAGTGGGCGGCAAAGTGCGCTCCCTGTGGCCCTGTTTCCTAATGTAGCCCCACTGAGGGTTGGGGCTCCAACGCATGAATCTGGGGACACAATTCAGCCTGTGGCGTGTGGTTTTACTCTGTGACCCGGACTTAAAGAAGCCTTGAGCTTCTTTTGTTTCTCCAAATTGAATGCAAACCACTCTGAGCTCATCAGCTGCACTGTAGGACCCTCCAGCTCCTTCGTCTGGGGCCCCTCCCCCTCCCAGGACCCCAGACAAGGCCTAGGGGCCATGCCCCACCCCACCATGGCCGCACTCTTTGCAGAGGCCTCTGAGCCTCACTTGCACTGGGCACTGAGCAGGCCTGAGGCTCCCGTCAGCCGCCCTGCGGGGCTCTTCTTTGAACCTGGCTTGGGAAGCTGGCACTTGAACCTCTTCGAATCTGGCCACACTCCCCTATGCTCCCCGCCCCGCAACAATCCTGTAGGGATTTCTCCACATGCAGCCCAGACTCTGCAGCCCAGCTTCCTTTCCAGGCCCACTCTTCTTACCAGCAGTCGCCATGCCTGGCTGATCCTGATGGACAGTGCCCCCTGCTGTCCGTGCATGGAACCACTTTCTGCTTCAATTCTATTGAACTGACCTGGTATTTCCTGAGCACGTGTGCCCACTCATGTGGAACAGGAAGGACAAAATGGGGGGCTCCCAGCCCCTCTGAAAACCCAGTGAACTTTCAGGGAGCAGAGAACAGGGTGCTTCCTGGACCCTTACCAGCGGCAGGGCTTGTGCCTGGTGTGTGGTGTGATGTGTAAAAGGATGAATGAGGAGCCACTGTGGTGGGTGGGTCCCCCAGAGGCTCCACAGAAGCGCCCCCACCCCCACAAGCTGCACCTGTGAGCATGCAGCTGTGAGTACACAAGGCATCCTGACATCTTGGTGGGCGTGGCCGGGACTGCGGGTTTTCTGTGGTGCCCATGGGCTCTCCCGCCACCCGCACCTCCTCCCAACCCCATATTCTCCCCTCGAGAAGGCCTGGCTTTCACCCTGGCTGGGGCCACAGGGTGCCCTGCAAGCTGGGTTTCCTGGCCGACTCTGAGATGGAGCTCAGCATGTGGGAGGTTTATTGAGGAGCACCCTGGGGACCGACACCTGAGGAGGGAGCAGACAGAAGCAGGGAGGGCAGGTGGGGAATTGGAACTAAAATGCAGGCCCCACGACAGCCCCTGCTAACCCTGGGAGACCTCTGCAGCTAGGAGCCATCCTGAGTGGGAATGGGACCCCCGGCCAGTAGGCCCTAAGCAGCCCGATAAGGAGCATGACCTTGGATAGGCAGCTGCCTGGGCTCGGGGCCTGGGAGCAGCTGGACAGTAAGTCCTCCTGGAGGGGCCCTGGGCTGTGAGGGTCCACGTAGGGGTGAGCAGGTCGCTTGGCTGGATCTACCCTGGGGCTAGCTTGGCCCTGAGAGGTGGGGCGGCTGCCTGGGGCTGGTGAAAGCTCAGGCACTGAGTCAAAATGTCAAGGCTGCAGGTGGTGGAAAGCCACAGAGGACAGAGCAATACCCCTCGTTTGGGGAAGGAATTCGAAGTGAGCAACTGAACAGAGATGGTCCTGGGAGCAGAGGCAGCTGGAGGCGCTGGTGCCCCATGTGGGGTTTTTGCAGAAGCTAGACCCAGCATCTCGAAGTGCCTTTGAGACTCTCCAAGGGCACGGAATGTGTTCAGGGTGGAGCCCTATTTTGAGTGGGTAGGTTGATGGGGGTGGGGCGGGCTGGGGGGTGGCTTCCTCAGTGCCTAGCTGACGCTGCAGCCCCTCATAGCTGGATTCTCAGAGGATCAGCCAAGGAAGCCGCGGTACCCGTGATGTGAATGAGTGATATCCGATTCCAAGGACCGAGTGTGGGAACATCCCACCTTACCCAGGGCTCCTTCCCTCAGGTGAGGGGCCTGTTATGGATCGAAAGTTTGTGTTCCCCCATATTCGTGGTTTGAAATCCTAAACCCAAGGAGGTGGTGTTAGGAGGTGGGGCCTTTGGGAGGTGAGTGGGTCACGAGGGTGGAGCCCTATGAAGGGGATTAGTGCCCTCAGAAGAGGGAGCCCAGAGAGCCCCCTCGCGCCTTCCACCTGCTGGACGCAGCGAGGAGTCTGCAGCGTAGAGCAGGAAGAGGTGTTCTACGCTGAGCCTGACCACATTGCCACCCCGATCTCGGAGTTCTAGCCTCCAGAACGGTGAGAAATAGCTGTCTGTGGTTTAAGACAGGACCCAATTTAGTAATTAGATGTTCGCAAGATTGAGAAGATGTTATTTACCAAAATTCCCCTTCAGAAAGGGAAGCACTTCGGAAAGTCCTTGGAGGCAAAAGCGGGAGGGAGAAACTGGTCCCAGAGAAAAAGGGGCGGGGCTCCCGCATCCAAAAGGGGGGCTGGAGGAAAGCGCTCAGAGACATCCGGGAGCTGGAAGGAAATGGAGAGAGGGCAGAGGGCACGGTTGCCTTGGAGACTCTCCAGCAGACGATGGAAAACCATGCCTGTTGTGAGCAGAGTCAGAGGGGAGGCCCGGGGCCTGAGGCTGCACCAGCAAAGAAAGCCGAGGGAAGACATCAGCCCTGGAAGCGTGGTTGTCACGGGGAGGGCTCTGTTCCCCACTAAGACCATGACGTTGGGGTTCTGGTCAGGCTTATCCAAGCCTACAAGAGGCAGGGGGCCAGGGTGGCCCCAGGGAACTGACAGTCACTTGGTGCCTGTGGGCCACCCCCACCCCCTACTCTGCAGTGGGCTGAATGCGGGATTGTCTGAGACTGCCTCCCTGCCCCGGCCTGAGCCGGCCCTGGGAGCCCCCCCTCCCAGGGTGAGCTGCCCTCAAGTCAGGCTTCCCAGGGCCTCAGAGGCAGCTGCCTGAGGATGGTGCAAGCTGGGGCATTGGGTCGAAAGGGCAAGGCTGACTCCTGGCTCCAGCCCTGGCCCCGTACCCCATGCAGTGGACCGTGCCTCAGCTCTCCCGGGACCAGAGGCTCTATCTGCGACGCAGCAGCAGGGAGAACATCCCTGGCGTGTGGCCAGGGCTCCGTGAGGGTTAGTGCTTGGAATTGGGGTGAGCTTCCTTCAAAGAGGTTTGTTTGTTTGTTTGTTTTAACAAAACAATCAGCCAGTTGGTCTTTTTTAGGCCATGGGTCTTAATCATTTTTGTTCGTGGATTCCTTCTGCAGCCTGGAGAGGCTTGTGGATTTTCCCCAGGTAGCAGTTTTAAATACTTAAATAAAATGCATAGGGTTACAGAGGACGCCTAATATGTTAAGAATACAATGATCAAAATTTTGAAACTTGTGATATGAAAATACATGTGCCTCTTTAAAGAGTTAGGCCTTGGATAAGGTCTAGGGACACATTTACTAACCATCCCAGTTTTGCATTAGTGAGGAGCTGAGCCGACGTGGTGTTTTGGAATATCTGCGTGGTCTGCGGTGTGATACGAAAATGGCTGTGATTTCTGTTGGTGACAGAGTCCCGGGAACCATCCACACCACTGCAGCGTGACACCTACGCACACAGGGAAGAAATGCTAGTTTCAGTTAGCCATTAGTGAAAATAGTGCATAATGTTTTTTCCCCAACCAGTTCACGACCCCCCAAATTCCACTCCTGATCCCCGGGTTGGTAACTCCTGGTTTAGGTGGAGATGTAAGCAGACCCAGAACAAAGGTTCTTCCTCGACAGAAGGATCATATTATTTGGGTGTTTTCTTGGTTCGTGAACTACCATGTGGGCTACCAGGGTGCCAGGCTCTTCCTCTGGGCTGTGAGCTATGGGCCCTCTAAGACGCTGGCCAGCCCCCGCTGGACACAGCACTGCAGGGCCACACTCTCAGGGGCTCTCTGAAAGCAGGCACCCGGACCCCAACTCTGATCTCTGGGATGCAAAGTCAGGCTTTCCTGTCCAGGTGAGCTAGGGACGTCCAAGGGGCAGAAGCAGGGGAGTTCGGCGGACGTGCTGTCCTCATTTCAACAGGGGACGGCAGAGGCTGCTCGCTGGGCTGTGGCTGACGCCAGGAGCCCCCTCCCACCCAGCCACCCTGCTCCAGGGGCCATGTTTTGGGAAATAATGGCTGAGTGTGGGAAAGTGGATGAAAAAGAGCTGTTCAGCCTGAACCTAGACCACCAGTCGCATGCTAACCTCCGAGACAGCAGCTCCCTCTCCAGAGCAAACTGCAAGAGTGACACCTTGTGACAGCAAGGAGCAATGGTAGCAGTGGGTTGTGGGGACCCTGCTTCTCCTCCTGAATAAGGAGGCCACACTGGACTCTTCTTTCTTGTTTTTTTTTTTTAATAAAGGTTTTTGTTTTAATTTTTTAAAAGATTTTATTTATTTATTTATTTTTAGAGAGGAGGAAGGAGGGAGAAAGAGAAGGAGAGAAACATCAATGTGTGGTTGCCTCTTGAGTTGCCCCCACTGGGGACTTGGACTACAGCTCAGGCATGTGCCCTGACTGGGAATTGATCCTGTGACCCTTTGGTGCACACCCTGCCCTCAGTCAGAGCCACACCGGCCAGGGCTGGACTCTTCTAATGGGATGTGGAAGCCGAGCATTTCCACGGAGGCGACGTCTGAGCTAACGCCTAGTTCCTGACATGGCCCAGTGATCCCGGAGCCCAAGGCTAGAGAGTCTGGGAGCAAAATGCCATCAGCTCTCTGTCCTTGGCACACACTGGAAGAGAGACAACAGGACTCTCAGCCCCACTGCAAGGCTGCCCAGGCCCACGGACAGGCCCACACCAGGGCCGTGCCATGCGCTGGGCCCCACAGCCCCTGGGCCGAGTCTAGAGGCCTGGAAGGGCTAGTAGTTATGACAGAAGCTGTAGGGTCCACAAAGCCAGTGTTTCCGATTGGGTTCTTTGCAAAATAAGTTTCCTGACCTCTGCTCTGAGCTTTAGGCTCTTAAAGGCAGAGACTTGGTTTTGTTTATCCCTGGATCCCCAAAACTTAGCAGAGAACCCCACACATAGTAGGGGCTCCATACATTGTGTTAACTGCATAAGCAAGTGGCATCTGGGCTGAGTCACGCAGTCCGTGCCCCTTACTTCAGAAGGAGGCTTCGCCTGGAAAGCACCCTTCTTGCATTCCTGCCCGTTGGACAGGGTGACCCAGTGCCATCTTGCCCAGGACCCTGGGTTTCCTGGGACCCTGGACAATCTGTGCAAAAGCTGCGAAAGTCTTGGGCGAACCCAAACAATCTGCTCACATTGTATCGAGCAGCCTGGCCTCTTTCCATGCAGAAGCACCCACCTGCCCTGTGTGGGCCAGGTAAGTCCCCCACGGGTTGCCGGGCAGACCTGTGTGCACAGCAGAAGTGGGCACACAGAAACGGCTGCGTAACAGCCGCAGATCCACACAACCGTGTAAAAGAGCAAGGCGGTGCCCCTCGCAGCGCGGGGCCTGGAGAGGCTGTTGCCATGGGGATTCTGGATGCTTCAGAGCAAAGCCACCGAAATCTTGTTGAACAGAGATTGTGAAGAAAGCGAGGCTTCCTGGGGAGCGGGAGTCTAGCTGGGTCTGAACCAACGAGGAGGAATCCAGTGCCTGCTGAGAGAAAGACAGCAGTGACCTCACTGGTGTGTGACATCCCCAGTGTTCATTCGCCAGTTTCCAGGGAAAACAAAGATGGTCACTTGGCCGTTTCTGAGCCAGTTTTTGTGGCCCCGGGGGACTGAGGCACTGACCAGCCAGCCTGGCTCACGTGTCCATCTCAGGGGGGCAGTGGGGGGCACTGCCAACTGTGCCGCCAAGCGCGTCACCTGGAATGGATGAGGAGGTGCGGGAGAGAAATCGAGTTTGTGTGTCGAGCTTGATTCCTTGGGAAGCAGAGCGGGAAGCGAAGGCTCGGCTGCCACTCCTTTGTTAGGGAAAGGGGAGCCCGGGGAGCAGGAGGCAGGGAGAGGGGCGTGGCCTGCCGGGCAGGAGGGGAAGCCAGCTGACCACGGCTTGGTGGCAGATGTAACCGGCTGCTCGGTCTCACAGCATCATGCTCTGCGAAGCTGTATAAATAACTATTTATCGGCTGAGTCATTCGGAGGAAAAAGGGAGAAGAATTTGTCCACAGGCAAACATCCCCCATCCGTTCACTTATCGGGTGTTAACTGCCAGGACTTCCTGGTTGCCTCTGGGTAGGTGCGGTGTGTCTCACACCCTACGGTGCAGGGAAGCCCCAAAGGCAAGAAGTATGCAGCCTGAGGCCGGGGGCGGTGGGTTGTGCCTGCGTGAAGCCACCCGAGTCCATATAGAGGTGGTGGTCTCAGCGGAGGCTGGCACTGGTGGCCAATGGCCCTGAGATAAGTGAGAGGGTCCAAAGTGGCACCTGGAGGTGTCTGATACCCAGGCAACCTGAGAGTAAAGGGCGAGATAAAACTGGCCGGGCCACGGCCCTCCTCCAGGCCATCTGGTCGGTCTCCTGCCTCCTTCTGAAGCTGCAACCAGGGCTGACTGGTGTTGGCACAGAAGGATGACCGGGCTGGAGCAAAGTCTGGGTTCAGAGAAGGTCCGCTGTCTCCAGTGGGAACCAAGGAGTAATCCTCAAACCCCCGCCACCACCCCCAGAAAAGAAAAGGCAGAATGAGCTCCTCTCTGGAATCCAAAAAGGCCCTAAAAAGGGGCCTCAGCAAACATCTAATTAAACTCTAAGAAGTCGGAAACTCTCGGGACCCTTTTTTTCTTGCACATAGCACAGAAGTTCGGAAACAGAGGACTCGGGGGAATCGAAAGTTAAACCGCCAAGTCTGGAATTTTGCCTGAGGACCTGAGGGGTGGCAAGCAGGTGGCGGGCAGGGCATCCTGGAAGAGCCAGGGTCCATCCAACCCTGGCTCATGGCCAGAGAAGAGAGGGAGGATTTTGTGGCGAGTGTGCCCTGTGCTGGAGTCTGCTCACCTCACCCTGCCTTGGTCACACCCCCGCCCTCCTGGCAGGGCAGGGACTCCAAGGTCGTGGAGTCCAAAGAGCAGGAGTCCATCCCTTGGCCTCAGTCACCACCTACCTGTGCAGGAATGATCCAGGTTTCTTAGTCTGGTAGGAGCTTGGCCAAGGTCAAACAGGAAAGTGAAGACAGTGACACAGGGCATCACCAAACCACGAAACTCCTGGCCCTCATGACACAGGAAGGCATTTAATATGAATCTAACACATAGGTCCCCTGCCTCACTTGTCTGGTCCAGACACCATTCCCCACAGTGCCCCAGACTCTTCGTCACGACACTCAGCGCACTGTCCGGAAACTTCCTACCCACCCTAGCCCGCTGGGCTGCGCTCTGGGATGGGGGCCTGTTTCCTGTTCACGGACCCACACCACGCTGCAGGCACTCAGCCATGCTCCAAAAACCTGGGTTTTGTATCTTGGTCTAGAAAGTGGGTCTGTGAGTTCCTGGAGGATGGGGCCAGTGTCCTACCCATCTCTGTCCCCCTTCTCTGGACAGGGCCCAGCCATCGAATGAGTGACATCTCTGCACTCACTTCCTTTTTGGTTCCACCCCAGCCTGCCGCTGGGCAAGCCAAATCCTGTGCAAAGGGCCTTCTCTTAACAGCTTGGAAAACTGACATGGGCTCTGGCAGAGACTGGAGGGGGAGGGGGTGCGGGGCTTCCTCCTGGCCTCCCCAGGACAAGAGGTGGGTGGGCGGTGCTTTCCCGCTGGACGGAGCAGGGCTGCCCAGCCACACTGGAGGGAGATACCTCTTCTGAGCCCGGGCATCTGAGTCCCTGGGCTAGGAGCCAACCTTGCAGTGGGGCCACCAAAGCCCCGGGATTTGGTGCTCATCACTGAAATACTGTCCTTTCCCCCCAGTGTTTGTCCCAGTTCTGAAAAATGAGAGTTGTGTGACCAGCAACAGCACAAAGTCTGAGTCGGAGAAGATCCAACTGGAAACTCTCCTGGTCTTGGGGGCACAGTCCCTTCTCAGAAAAGTCTGGCCTGGGGAGCCTTGGCGACAGCAGTCTCCGCGGTAACGGTGGGCCAGAATGGGCACTCAGGTCCTGCTCGGGTCTCTGCGGCCAGCTGGGCGGCTCTGCTGTGAGGGGGACCCCCAGGGGAGTACCAACTGGGTGGGCACTGGGGCTCCATGTGCACCGTGGACCTGGGGGCGGGTGCACCTGGGGCGGTCAGGGGCTGGGAAGTCTCCCCGATGCCTGCGAGAAGAGGGTGCTCCCGAAGCAGGCTGCACCTAGCCCCGTACCCCATATTGCAAAACACCCAGTCACCACAGCCCAGGCCTGCACCCGGTGAACTGGGCATTTCCAAACATTTTAGTCTTTTGCCTCTTTTGAAATGAGAAGGAAGGTCTTTTGCTTCCCAGATTGGGTTAGAGCTGCCCCAGTTCCCAATGACACGGCGCTCCATCAGAGTGCTACGGACCGCATCCAACCACCTGAACACAGAGAGGAAACCCAGGACCGATCCGCTGCACACCTGCTTCCTGCAAAAATCCTACAGCCAGGGTCCCCGCAGAATGGGCCCCCAGACCTGCAGCAGCACCCGGGCAGAGGGTGGGGGCAGGGGCGGTCTTCTCTTCAGAGCCTGAACTCACCCCTTCTTTCTCTTCTCCCCTGTCACCCTTCCCCTACACTGCTGATAGCTTTACAGGAATAACCAGCTCCCAGTTTGGGGCCCAGTGGGGAGGGGCTTCTGGGGGGGGGCAGTGAGCAACGTCAGCATTGTTCTGCAGGGTCGGGGGCTGTGCTCCACATGGTGGCCTCAAAGTTGCTCTGCTGGTGCCTGGAAAAGGCCCCCCTGGGGCCAAGTCCAGATTCTGGGCATTTGGCTGCATCTCCGGGGGGGGGGTCTCAATGAGCAGAGCAGAGACAGGGGGCAAGACCAGAGGGGGGGTGGTTTCAGAGGCAGCCGCTGAGAGGACAAAGGGTGGGAGAAGTATCCACCACTGCCTGGCCACCCAGCCTCCTCGGAACTAACACTGATAGTGAACTCTTCGGAGCCGCGAGCTGAGTTTACGCATTCTTCCAACTACCACGAGCTCAGCCGAGAGCTTCTGGAGTCCCATCACCACCAGCGAGACAGATGCTAGCCCCACTTCACAGAAGGGGAAACTGAGACTTGGAGAGACTGCACACCTTGCTCCAATACACTGGGGGAGCTTGTATCCAATGGCTCCAAACAATTTCACCCTTCCCTGTACACATGACACTTATCCCCTCAAAAGGTGGCACTTATGTCCCCTCCTCTTGAGTCTGGGTTGAGTGCAGAACTGCTTTGACCGATAGAATAGAGAAGAAATGATGGGTTGGGACCTCCAAGCCTGGGCATTGAGAAGGCGTGGCCGCTTGGGCTTCCTGCGTTTTGGGGCCCAGCCTCCATAGCGTGGGGAACCCGAAGGGGTGGAGGAGAGGCCACATGTTCCCACTGAGCCCAGTCCAGACTGTGAAACCTTGAGCAGACACGGCAGTTTTAAGCCACAGGCTTGACAGGGTTTATCGTGCAGCAATAGATGATCCAAACAATCACAGCCCAGAAGTGGTGGAAATGGGACTCAAAGCCAGGTCCCAACCCAGGCCTGGTAGTCTAAAGTCCCCTCTCTTTCCACCCCCACCCCCCGGGATGACAGCTGCCACTGATCCGCAGGGTAGGACCTGAAGTTCTGACTCTTCCCCCTGAGACGCGGCTGGGCCAACTCCCTTTCATGTCCCGGATGCAGGGTGAGCTGCCCTCGGTTCCAAGGAGCGCTGAGCAGCAGGACTGTCCTCCTCACACAAGTCCCTGAGCCCCCAGCCCAGCCCGGGGAGCAAAGAGCTGGCCTCAGGGCCAGACCCAATGGCCCAGGACACTGGAGGGCAGCCTGGGAGGACTGGGGGATACGTGGACCTCATGAGGTTTGTGGACCCATTGTTCTCCCCACAGCTCCCCCTGAAGTGTGAAGTCCAACACGCTGGGAGGAACAGAGGCTGGTTGAAGTGGGTGGGTCTGGACCTGAGGAAAGACCGGGAATGTGCCCCCTAGTCAGACACTCCAAAATAAAGGACTTGCAAAGAGTGACCCTTCAAACCCACCCTGCAACTCTTACCCACCCCCCACTTCAGGGTCACTAACCTCAGAGGACGTTTCCGGAATAGTCGGCGTCCCACGAACTGCGTCTCTGCCTTTGGCTTCATGAGAGGGGCACCCGCGGGACTGCAGGGAGCTTGGAATGTGTGCCCTGCTGCTGGGAGGGGCTCCCTGAGGGCCTGGTGGCAGACAAGCTCCTGAGTGAGCGGGGAGCACCGTGGCTGGGGCTGGCTGCTTGGCGCACAGAGCAAGGGGAGGTGGCCGTGCCAGGCGCGCCCACGCCCGCGTGGCCTGCATCAGAGCAGGTGGGGTGGTCTCAAAAGCACTTCGGTCCAGCCCCAGGAGACTGGAGCCGGCAGACTGTTCCCCTGTGCTGAGGTGCAGTGAGCGGTGAGGATGGGGGAGGTGGGGACCAAACACCCCAATGAACTCCTGCCCCAGGGAGGGGAACGGTGCCAGACACCACCAGTGGCCCCTCCTGCCCCTCCCGGAGGGCAGGATCCCCCACCCGTGGTGCCGGAGGAGCCTGGGGAGGCCGAGCCCGGAGCAGGGGCTCCTTTGCCAGCCACAGGCTTCCCGTGAGGGGCGGGGTTTGGAGGGTGGAGGGCGGCCACGTCAGCGTCAAGTGGACCTCGGGGTCCCTGCTGCTTTTCATAACTAGACACTGTCATTCCTGAAACTGGGCTTTGTGCCTACAAGTGACCCCAGGAATGTTTGTGATCTTGGATGGACCCCTCCCCCGCCCAAAGCAAGACATCTACCTTCGATTTTATTCAAGGTTAGGTGAGAACCTACCCCACTGAGCAGGTTTGACAAGGAAGTGGGAAGAGAAAATGAAGTTGTTTTCTGATCACAAGGTTCTCCAGCTCAAGTAACTAGAGTCACAGGACGCACTCTGGCTAAGCGAGGTGGAAAGGAATTCCTTGGTAGGACACGGGGTAGCTCGGAGACGCGCCGCTGGGCTGGGGGGCAGCGCCAGCAGTCGGCCCGGCAAGGGAGCCCCAGGCCCGTGGAGGCCACGGAACCACTGAGACGACACCCCACCTCCTTCTGTCCCCAGGACACGGGGGACTCGGTCTTTGCTGTCCCCCATTCCGTGTATTCTAAAAATTATAATCGGAGGCAGCCGCCGTCTCCCATCTGTTGGTGGGGAAGACCCCCCAGCACAGCTGCAGGGTCCAGCCGCTGCACCCTGGGGAGGGAAGGAAAACGGACATTTCCTAAAAGGGTGGACCCTTCACCGGTTGACCTTAAAACTGCAGTCTACCTGAGAATGGCCAAGATTACGTTTTCTGCTACCAGGCTGACTGGGGATTTGGAAACTAGGTTGTTATACCAAACAGATCATTGCAGGGAAAAAAAAGACACCTTTTGCAGGTGTCTAGGAAATTCATACTTACCCCAGAGATAATGGAAGACGAGAACAAAGTGAATCAGTAAAATCACCTGGCAAATGCTCGAAAAGCGTGCCTCCCTCCCTGGGGGCGTGTTGGACAAAGCTCCTGGTCAAAGTCATCACCCTCCCTCCCCTCCCCCCACCCTCCCCTCCCCCCAGGGCACTGCTAGCTGCTCCCCCTTCTCGTCGTCCGGTTAGGTGCACGGGCCCGTGCTCCAGTGGGGCTGCAGGACCTGGGAGCTTCCCGAGCTGAGGCTTTTTGTCTCGCAGGTGGGAGGCTGGCACCCCAACCTCTGTCTGCTCTCACGTCTCCCGCTGTGCGCTCCAGCAGCTGCACCGCGTGAGACACACAGCGGGGACGAGGAGATGCCAGCCTGCAGGGTGTCAGGGTGCCACTGAGTGCGGCCCCCACCGTCTTGGGAAAGCACCGTGCATCCCTGCTGCCCCCAGCCCTGGACCCTAAGCATCCTTTCCAGCCCCCTAGCCCCTGCTCAGGGGTCTCAGACCCAGAGGGTCACAGGCTCTAACGTGCTGCCCCCACCCTCTGGCCTGCGGGGGGCGCTCTGCTCTTTCCCGCTGCTTCTGCCATTGCTCCACATCAGCCTCGGAAGCTCAGTAAATCCCCTCCCCTGAGCCCCATGCTGTTAGGCCACATGCAAACCACGTGCTCTGAGAGCTGGAAAAGACCTTGAGAAGGACTTAGCCCCCACGCGCTGGGGAGGGGCTGGTAGGAGCCCTGGCCCGGGGTTAGTCCACCCCCGCCACACAGCACATGGGAGGTCAGTGGCAGAATTCACGGCCCCCCGACCTCCAGGTGTGGGCCCTCTTCCCTCCGGGGACACTGAGTACAACGCTTCCCCTTAAGGGCCTGACCCCTGGGGATGACGGGCTCTTCCTCCTTCTCCAGCCAGAGCTGGGGGTGGGGCATGCCCAGCCCAGCAGGCATCCCTGGGGTGGACGGCAGGGGCCAGCCCCCCATTCCCTCCCTAAGCACTTATTGAAGCTCTGAGGTCCCTGATAAGTAAGACTCTAACACCCGTGGGTGGTAACTCCTTCAGGCAGAGGGCTGAGAACAGTTTCCATGGAGACCGCCCAGGCTCTGGTTTCCATAGCAACACTTGCAGGAGGTTACGGAGCTTCCAATTTATGTCAACTGAACATCAGCAACTGCTCTATCCTTCAGGCCAACCTGGGCCTAAGACAGGACTTCTTGTCTAGGATGGGGGACAGACCACGGGGGCCAGAGGGGACGACGGTGTCACTACCGTTAGCTGATGGTGAGGACATTTTCCCAGCCAGCAGGCCCTCCTTCATCCTGGCTGCAGGGTGTCTGTATCCAGAGATATGCACACACTTACACTGTGAGGAGCACGCATCTTCCTGACAGAAGAGGACACAGCCTCCCAGCGCCCTGCCCTTCAGGGATGACTGGGGACAGGGTCTGCAGTGTGCCTCCAGAAGCGGAATGCGCACACCCGCAGGCAGAGACCCCTTTAGACAAGTCAGAGGTGGGATGTGTGGTCTTGCTCTGCCAACTGTGTTACCCTAATTACAGATCTCGGAGAACTTGGCATCCCAGCACCAGTGACAGTGACCTCACTCCTTGTAATGGCAACAGAATATGGTGTGTGCAGTAAATAACCACCCAGTTGAGGGACTTTTGTTTTCAGTTTCTATCGCCATGATAAACGTCTCTGCCCGTGTATTTCTGTATACTTGTTTGAGTGTATCCGTAGGATACATTCCCAGCAGAGAAGTTGCTTGGTCCAACACATGGCATTTTAAAATTCGATTCATGTCAAACCGCCACACAGCCATCACTGGCACAGGCGGGCTCAAGCCTCCTTGAGGAAACCAAAGCAAACCACAGAACCAGCCTCCCCAGCTCATTTGATGAGGCCAGCAAAAGTAATACAAAACCTGAAAAAGAGTACAAGACAGGAAAGTCACAGACCAACCTTTCTAACAAACATATACCTAAAACTCCTAAAGAAAATGTTAGTAAGCAGAACCCAATAGCGTAGAGATGAGATATGCCTCATGGCCCAATGACTTACTTATTCACAACATCTACAAATTATGGGGTGGGGGGGGACATGTGATCAGAGCGATAAAGAATAAACAGTTGATAAAAGAATGAAACATCTATCTCTGATGAAAAATGAAAACTAGAAATAGAAGACATCGTCCTTAACCCCCAAAAGAGTATTTTTCCCATCTTTATAGCTAAAACTATACTCAGGGGCAATTATCTTTAAAACCAAGAATAAACCAAGATTTGCGCCCATCACCCCGGTACCGGAGCTCCTAGTCAGTGAGGTAAGAAAAAAAAGTTTTAGTTCTTTGAATGGGAGAAATAAAGTCTATTTATAATCAATACGATTGCTTAGGTAGAGAAACACTGAAAAGCCCTCAGATCACCTCTCGGAATAAGGAAGGCGGCTTGGCAAGAGCGCTGGAGCAGCACCCAAACGCGGATTACATTTACGCACACTCGCGACAAAGTCGTAAGTGTTCATTATAGTAATAAAAAGCACCAGAGACTTCAGCATCATCTAATGAAAGATCCGCAAAACCTCTATTAACAAAAGCATAAAACCGTATTGGGAGATGTTAATGATCCAAATACAATACGGCCGTGGATCAGGACACTGGATATCATAAGAGTTTCAGTTCTCTCCAAGTGAATCTGCAGACTGAATACAAGACCAGTAAAAATCTCCACAGAGCTCTGCAGAAAACTCGATAAATTGTTTCTGAAATGCACACGGAAACAATGGCCCAAGACCAGGGAGCTGCTGGGGAAAATCACGGTGCTTGGTTCACTGCCACTGCCAGATACTCAGACTGAGTCTAAGTGGGCTGCGGTTCAGAGGCTGGGCGACCCATTAGGATGGAATGGAAAACCCAGACACAGACCTGGTCCCTGGGGGAACGTGAGCGCCCCACTCAACGTGCGTGGAAGCAGACACAACGCAGCTCACTGGGGAAGGGAAAACGTAAACCCAAACCAAACAGACGGCTACCCCTACCTCACACCACACCTGGCATAGATTCTGGGAGATTTTAAAACCTAACACACGAAACTTTAAAAAGATTAGAAGGCAATATGCGATGATGTGTCTTTAATCTTAGAATAAGAAGGACTTCTGAAACAAGACGCAAAAGGCTCTGACCATAAAGGAAAAAAAAGGGTAAATTTGACTACAATGAAATCAATCATTTCTGCTCATCAGAGAAACCACAAGGAGAGAAGACAAGTCACAAACTTGGGTAAGATATTTGCCCCGCATCACTGACAAAACACATAAAGATCATACACAACATACACCTATAAAGAACTACAAGTCAGTAACAAGAAAACAAAGCATCCAACACACAAACAGGCCAAAGAGCACATACAGGCGTTTCACAGAAAAAGAAGTTTGAGGTAATAATCATAGGGAACTCGCCCCACTTTCCTCAGGAAAATGCAAATTAGACCCAAAACCAAACACCACTTTCCTCTCAATCTGCTGGCAAAGAAAAATCCCAAGCATTGTTAATATTCAACGTTGGCAAGGAGGTGCAGCGGGAACACCTAGGCAACGCAGGTGGAGGTGTGCACCGGCTCAGCTGCTTAGAGAGAACAGCCTAGTAGAATTTTCTATGTTGGACATTTGCATCCTGGGACCCGGCAGCTCCATTTCTGGGCGTGCGCAGCTGAGAAACCTCACACAGGTGCGCTGGAAGCCTCATAAAAGAAATGCTCACTGGGGCATTGTACCGGCTGAAATTAAAAAAAGAATCCCAGCATTCATTGTTAGGAGGCTAGATAATGAAGCTGTGTGTTCACGTGATGGACTAACTACACGGTAGTACAGATGAATTAAGTAATATCATAGGCAACAACACGAATTTTAGGAATATAAGATTAAGGGGGGAAGTTAGAGAAGAATGCATGAACTTCTGTTTCTATAACATTAAAACCCAAGCAAAACTACATTGGAGATCCGTGGACATGTGGGAGAATTATAAAGCAAAGCAGAAAAAGTCAGCATTGAATTAGCCTGGATTGGATAATATAAGGAGATTGGCTAATATATGGGGAATCGACATATCTTCGCTGGATCTAAGAATAGGTGATCTTTAATGACCGTCCTGGGTATAGATGTGGGGGGATGGGAGAGGCTAGGGTGATGTGGGAGTCTCTGAACTTGGGAGCCAAAACGTCTCACACCCCCGAGCACTGCATGCTTCTCCCCACATTTAAGTGAAACATCCCTTTCGCTTAAATCAGTGCTGTTTCTGTGACTTGCTCTGACCAAGGATGCAATGAAGTAACGTTCCAGAACTTTCATTTCAGGCCTTAAGAGGCCTGGCAGTTAGGGCTTCCCTCTCTCCGAGGTCGGCTGCCAAGCCCTTGGAAGTCCAGGCTGGGTTACTGATGGAGGCGGAGAGGGGAGGGACCGGCCTCAGCGCTCCAACCCAGCCATCTCCCCACTGAATGCAAAGCAGGAGGGAGCAGCTCGCCCGGGAGTGTCATGCCCACAACACTCACCCTGCAGAATCAGGAGAAATAATAAACTGCTGTTAGGCCATTAAGTTCTGGGGTGGTTTGTTACCTGGCAACAAAGGATGACATGCGTGCAAGGAATTCAGCGCTGCTGGCAGCCTTTTGCTTCCTGTTAGCAGGTGGGTTTCCAGACGCACATCTGCCATGGGGCTTCAACACTCACACACCAGTGACTCACATGTAGTACTGTGTACATTAAAGTACATATACCTTTCCTGCAAACATGCACTTCCCCCAATCTTTTGTATTTTCTATGTAACACGTTTTTGCAATGGTCCCTTTGTCATTTCTGTGAACTGCCTGCTTATATTTTTCCTCTCGATTGGGTTGTTCATTCTTCACAATTGTAAGAACTTTGCATATTACATTCTGTGTTTCAAAAACACCTCCCCCAGGTTGCAGCTTACACATTTTTGCCGTAGTGTTTTGCCATATATAAATTCTGTTCCTCGTAGTCCAAGTTACTGTTGGACGTCCTGCTTAGGAAGGTCTTTCCACCTCCAAGATTACCTTTTAAGTCCTCCCATGGCTTCATTTCACACTTACAACCTTTGATCCACCTCGAGTTTTGTTACAAGGACACAGGCCCCAGGTTAATGTTTAACGAACAGTTACCCAGTTGTTCCATTAAAAAGAATCCACACACTCTCCACTAAACTTCCTTGAAGTCAACTTGCAGGCTCCCCATCACGTCCCACTGACCTCTTCCTCCACTACGATGACCCCTTAACCATGACCTTTGTCCCGCCCGACACCTGAGCCAATGCCACTTTGTGACTGTAATGCATTTAGACTGATGTCTTTGCAAGACTGAGACCAAAGGTGTGGGCACCTGTCCTCACCCCAGGGGCAGGACCCAGGTCCCACCTCCAGCACGGAGTCGGCTGAGGCTCTGGGTGGCCCCCCTTCTTCCTTCTGCAGAACATGGACTTGCCTCGTATCAGACCTCAGTTCCGATCCACCAACACGGCTACTTAAAGCCCAGAAACTGGAGCTCGACACTGTCCTTGTGCTTAAGAATGAGCAGCAGTGATGTCATCTTCTGTGTATCACCCCTGGGGTGGTTTGTAGGTACCTAAAAGCCCCACAACCTTGGGCGTTGAGTAAGCTCCTGGAGCCCTTTCCTTCTCCCTCACCTGTAAACTGAGTCTGCCTGACTGCTGGGGGGACACCCCCAGTTCTCGGCTGAACCCGGGAGCAGGCGCGCCTCTGCCGAGGTCGGATGCCAAGGCCTGCTGGCTTCTGTCTGCTGCCCCACCCCGCACGGCTCAAAGAGTGCACAGGACGGGGCGCCCCCACCCTGCTTCCCACCCCCGCCTGCCACTGTTAAGTCAAAGCCAGAAGACAAAGATTTTTATTATTCTACAGATGCTTCTGAAAAGAGATCTAATTGAGAAAATATACAAAGCGTTTCAGAGTTTTGTCTCCAGAGCACCTGGGCCCACTGAAGGCATCAAAGCCTTCCTTCTCCTCCTCCTCCTCAGGGCTCAGAATGGGTAGCATATTGAATGATCAGTAAAAACATGCAAAAGTGAGGAGGAAAAGGAAAAAGGGTGCATTCCCCCAAAGCAGAGGAAGCTAAGAACAGAGAGGAGGCAGGGTGTGCAAGTACCAGGCGGCTCTCCTTCCCCCCACAGCATCCTCTAAAACAGCTCTCAGCTCGGAGGAAGCCAGGAGCCCCAGCCTGCTCAGCGGGACCTCCACCCCTCTCTGGGCAGTGCTGTGCTCAGCCCGACGGGGGACGGGGGGAATGGTCCTCCTGGGCGGGCCCTGTTCCACTGTGGCTGTGGGGCTCCACCTGTGCTCCTGGGGGGCCAGCGCTGGGGGCCCTGGCTCCTCCCTCTTTGGTTCCACTCAGAAAACGATTGTGCTTGACGAACTCATCCCCACCCCCACACTCCAGCTCCCTCTGGTGGGCTGAAGGCACTGTTGGGAGTCCTGGGAGACCCCCCAGGACAACCACCTTCCCTTGTGCTCTGGGTGGGTCCATCCCTAGGCACACCCCCCCACCCTCGGCCAGGCCTGGGAACGGGCATGCGGGAGGAAGTGTGCCATCCCGAGAAAAAGCCTACGGGACTTTCCCAGCTGTGCAGACGGTTCCCATCCCCACTCCACACCCCTCCCCACACCCTGTCCCCTAGCCCAGGACACCCATGTGCCTGGGCCCTGGAGGAGCCAACTTCAAGACAGCGGTCGCAGAAACCACCCTGGGGTGCCCTCCCTGTCCCCCAGGCCCGGATGTCAGCAGAGGTGAGGGCCTCGAGAGGTCTCGGCTCTGGTACAGGCAGGCGGGCAGGGCTGGACGGGACTGGGAGACATGTCACATCTATGGAACAGCATCCAAAGTACAAGCTACGAGGGGAAGGAGGCAGGGCAGAGAGTGGCGGGAAGAGGAAAGAGGAGAGGCTGGGTGGGACCCGGTGGGGGCGGAGCCTCACACGGCCCCGCAGATGAGCGTCTCCACCACGAAGGTGTTCTCGAAGTGGCGGATGGCGTTGCAGCTCTTGGCCCCACGCTTGTTGATCCCTGGAGGGGACAGAGAAATCCCAGTGAGGCCTGTGTCCTGGCCCAGAACTGGCTGAGCCACAAAAGCCAGCAGCCTCAGTGCCTGAGTGGAAACTCAGAGCTGGGGGCAGAAGGACGTCCAGGAAAACGAACCCAGATTCACCCAGAGGCAGCGAGCCCAGGAGCCGGAGCCGGAGGGCTGGGCTCGGCCTTCCTCCTGCTGGGGCTTCAGAACTGCTCACCCACCTCCCTGCACCCAGTTTCCTCACCTCGAAAAGGGGCAGCAATAACAATGATGATGATGGTAACTTACACTTTTTAAGGACATAAAGAGTATAAAATGGTGCCTGGCACGCAGTAAGTGCTCAGTGAACACTGGCTGTCATTGCCGCTAAGACCTGAGCTCTCTCAGATCTGAGTTCTCTGACCTCGGGTGCCCAGCTCTGGGCCAGGCACTGCTGGGGCGGCTGTGGTCTGGAGACCGGGGCGGGGGCCACTCACGCCTCCGGGTGGCCCGGCGCCGGAGCCGGTAGGTGTCCTTCCCGTTGCACAGGTGGTGGATGAAGGAGCCCAGGGCCTCCTTGTCGCTGACGTGCTCTGTGACCACCATCTCCTCCTGGATGATGTACGTCTGCGGCAGGTAGGTCCCTCTCTGCAAAGGGGGTGGCCACAGCACCGATCGGTGCCTGGGGCTCCCTACCCACGGTCTCCGAGAGCTCGCTGCCCACTGCCCTCGTCACCACCCTTCTGCTCACTTGAGCTGTGTCCCCCGACGCTGAGATGCACACATGCTCCCCTCCCTCCTGCGGAGGCCCTACAGCGTGGCCTCCTAATGTCCCCAGGCACATCCTGCTGTGCCAAGTAGAGACGCCCGCACTGCCCTGAATCCTGCATCCTGTGCGTGGGGGTCTGGCCTCTGACCCTTAGGGCAGGGCCCCCTCTCCCTGCACGGCCACAGGGGTGCAGGCTGGGGCGTGGAGAAGATGCGGCTGAGACCGCCGCTCACCTTCACGTTCATGAGGAGCTCCCAGAAGTTGCGAGGAGGCAGCACGATGGTGGTGTTGAGCTCAATGACGTAGCACTTGTCCAGGGAGATGTCGTGGTAGGCGGTCAGACCCTGGGAAGCAGGAAGGGTCACGTCAGGCTCTGAGGGTGAGCGCCTGGCCCAGGCGAGGCTGTGAGAGGCCTCTGGCTGGCAAAGGCAGGAGCCCCCACCACCCTGAACAGCCCCCCCTTTCTGCCCCCTGCTAGCCTGGGTTCCCAGGAGGTTCCACTTACTAGATGACAGACACCAACTGCTAAAGGCCTCGGGTGTCACAAGGGTCCTACTGGTGGGGTTACAGAGCCGAACATGGTAATGTCCTCACTGTGCACATCATCAAAGCCGTGAGGTCTCTCTCTGCGGCTCCCTCAGCGAGAAACGCCCAACCCAGGCCTCTCTGTGGTGCCTACACCCCCATAAAATGTTGACACGGGGGTGCTCCAATAGAAGGGGGCACGGGCCTGACTCAGGACAGCCAGCACCCGCAGTTGTCTGGTGGCAAGGAGAAATCCTGCGGGCAGTTCACGTTCAGTGACGGCCACGTACCCGCACAGGTAGGGCATAAGTTACTGATGTTTGCATGAAAAATAACACCGTAGTTAATGAGTAATAGTATAAGGACTGACTGTGCTTTGCGTTGTCATAACAGTAAAGTTACTTTTGCCCCACCCTGTATGACAAGAGCGATGTCTTTAAAACCTCGACCGAGCTAAACCCTGGCTGTGTTGTACACGCCATTGACAAAACTCTGTGTGTAGTCCGGGGTGTACAAGGGAGGGCACTCTCCCTTCGCACTGTTCCTTCTCCTGACTCAGGTGGGAGGTGGGCCCCGGGTCCCAGGGCCGCCCTCTCCCCGCCCCTGCCTGGCCCCCGGCCCCCGGTTGCCGGCCCGCCTCACCCGCTGGAAGTCATGGATGATGTCGGCAGGGTCGCCGCCGCCAAACTGGGGCACCGGCACGTTGATGCGCTCGTAGTTGTCTTCGAGGTAGATCTTCACGTCCTCCTCCAGCTCCATGCGAGTGTGCGCCTGGGAGGACAAGGAGTCCTCGTAGAAGACGCCGCAGTGGAAGAAGTTGTCTCGGGCCAGCTGAGCAAGGCGGGGGGAGAGAGACAGACGGGTCACACAGCGCCCTCCGCACAGTCACTGCCGCCTGCCCCACCTTGCTAGGCTCCTGGGGCCTGGGGGCGCAGGAAGGGTGGGGCTGGGAGACCCATTTCACAGGCGGAGAAAATGAGACGTGTGGGGAGTCGGGGAGGGTGAGCGGCACTGCCACTGCCCGGGGAGATGACCTCTGTGGGCCTCAGTCTCCCCATCTGTAAAACGAGGTGCTCCCTCAGGCTTCTTCTGACTTCCAAGTCCGTAAGTCTGTATTTGGGAAACGGGGGGGCAGCCACCTGAGAGGGAGCCTGAGGTGGTTGGGAGGGTCCTCAGCGGCAAACACAGGAGCTTGGACAGGACGAGCTGGGCCCTGGGGGTGGGTGGTGGCTTCCACCGCCACCACAGGGCACTCACCCCTCTCTCCTGCCCCTGCTGTGGGGCCCTGCAGGCCTTGGGGGAAAGGTGGGGGAGGAGCCGAGAGGCAGCCCCTCGTGATTCCAGCTGGTGTCCAACTTCACACAAGCCCCTCCCACTTTCCCCAGGCCTGGTGAGAAACCCTGACAAACCTATTTGAGGGGACAAACCTTGTGTCCCCTATCAGCGTGGCTCGTGTAATCACTCCATCAGTAAGGGAAGGGAGGCAGTTTGACTTGACTGAGGCCCAGAGAGTGGCCATGTGCACCAGCACACCCACTTTCAGGGGGCTCCTCCATCCGTGCCCACACTGCTGGCCTGAAATGGGCGGAACCCCCCTTTGTCTCTGCGCAAGTTCCCCGGATCACACGTGAATCCCACGGGCCCAGGGCCCAGACCCAGAGGCTGCTCGGAGGTGCCCCGGTCCCTGGGAGCTGTGGTGTGTGGGGCGCCCCGAGCTGAGAGTGGGGGCGGGGAACAGAGGGGACCAGAAGCCAGAGTGGGTCGAGGGAAGGGCTGTGGCCACAGGAGAGTAAAAAGCTGGAGCAAGTGGAGAGCAGGCCGTGGGGGAAGGGAGGGCAGGAAGGGCAAAGGAAAGGTCAGCAGGCTCCGAGGGGAAAGCCCCAGGGAGTAGAAACTCCTCAGTAGTTTCCACTGTGGGAAGACGGGGAGGACGACAAGGGAGAAGCCCAGTGAGGGACGGGGGAGGTCACTTGGGTCGTAGATGACTGGCAATTCTCAGCCTTTCGGCTCCTCCGAGATCCCCTGTTGCACTTACAGTTCTTCTTTTGAGCTACCTCTAATTTAACCACTTTCAGTTCTGAGAACATAGGGGCTCTGCCTCCCTCCCGCGTCTGGGCTGAGTGTGAGATCGCCGTGGCCACGAGCCGTTCTCTGGGCCCAGCTTGCTGCCCAGACTGGCTGTGTGAGCAGAGAGCTGGGGGTGTGGCCGCAGCCAGGCCCCCTCTCCCAGGAGGTGGGGGTGAGTCCGTCTGCAAACCCACCCTCCACCTGTCTCGTTTTATAACCCAACATCCAAACTCAAAATGGAATCCCTTAAGGCGTGGGCCACGGGCACCAGTTTCGGACTCTAATTGCAGAGCTCCGATTTCCGCTGGATCGTACGAGTTTCTGGTGGTCAAGGCCCACGGTGACACTGCGGGAAGGGGCTGTGGGCCACATAGGCCCAGCTTCCAATCTTCGCTCCCCCACGTGGACTGTGCTCCTAGGAGACTTTCCTGATGACCTCAGGTGTGTCTGCTGAAATGGGTGAGGACCCCCACCCAGGGTCTGTGCTCCTTAGGGATGTGCCTCGAGTCCTGAGCCCATGGAGGCCCCTGGGAGGAGGGGCACAGACCCAGGGCTTCCTGTGGCCCCTCTCCACAAACCCCAAGCCCCTGGCTCTGCCCCTGCTGCCCTCTCCTGCCAGCGCCCACGGCCCTCCACACCTCTCAGAGCCGCCCCCGCCCCCGGCCTCACCTGGGCGAGGAAGAAGTATCTGTAGATGTAGACGGAGGCGAACACCAGGCCCATGAGCAGCACAACCATGCCCATCGACAGGTAGCAGACGCTGCCCATGGAGCCCCCCTTCTTGTGGCGGTGGTAGGGGGGGCGCTCCTCCTGTGGAGAGCAGTGCAGGGTCAGTGGGGTGGGGGCCCTGCACCCTGGGACTCTCCCACCCCTTTTTCAAAGTGGGACCCCACGCTGCTGGCTGGGAGGGAGGGATGGGGACTCAGGGCACCCGGAGCGTCATCAGGAAGGGACGCCTCAGGCTCACCCCAGCTCCTCCACACGCAGAGCCCGAGACCCCCCCACGAAACCACATAAAATGACCCGCAGGGGCTCAGCAGGTGCAGCTGGAGTTCCCTGAGCCATGAGGCCCCTTCATGAGAGCAGCTGTGGCCACAGTCGGTATATTCTTTCAAACACAGAAAGAGGCCTAGATGTGGCCTTAGTGATTGGGCCAGGCCCAGTCATTCACAGGAACTGGGGTGCTCTGGGCAGTGGGGAGTCAAGACGGGGTGACAAGACCCACCTGAAGTCTGGAGCCCACAGGGTGCACTGGAATGGGGGCAGTGGGAGGGAGGGGTCACGGACCCATGGGGCAGGGCTGCAGGAGGCCCGCAGGGCCTGGGGCCCCAGACCCACGCTGCTCAGAGCACAGCATCCCAGGAGGGCAACGGCCTCGTACAGGCCCCACCGGCAGCGCAGGGCGGGCTGTCAGAAGCAGAGCCTGCCTGCAGGGTGAGGTTCGGAGGTTTCTGGAAGCCGGGGCTCTTGTGCCAGGAGGGAGACGTGGCTGTGGCATCAGCAGTGGCCGCAGGGAGGCCAGGGCAGGAGGCTCCTGGCGAACCCCTGTGTGGGGGCCGGGCTCGGAGCTGCAGGGCCGCCAAGAGGAGGCAAACCGACCAGACCCTAACCCTGCTCCAGGCCATGGGTGTGGGGGTGGGGGATGAAGGGACTCGGCTTCGGTGACTCATCCCTCAACCATCCCTCATCCCCCAGTCACCTCCTATCTTCACGCCTGTCCCCCTTACCACCCTGCCCGAACCCAGGCCCTCATTCACCCTGTGATGCCGCAAAGGAGCCAGGCACCATCCAACCCTCCTCCACGGGGTCCAGAGTCGGCCAGGGTGAGGCAGAGGAAGCGCCAAGGACCCCCACCCCTCACCCCCTTGGAACTGGGCCAGTGTGGGGGAGGGGTGGGAGCCGCAGCCCAGAGCCCAGGCCTTTCCTCCCTTCATCCTGTGCAGGAGGCTGGGGACATGGTTCAGGTCCAAGTTACCCAGGACAGACCCATCTCTCTCAGAACAGGAGATGCAGTGTGGCAGGGACGGGGCTCGCAGCCTGCCTGGGGATGGCAGTCAGGCCTGGAGGACCCTCCCACCCCCTGGGTACACCCATCACCAGGCCACCGCAGCCATGGGGTGAGCCACAGAGTGGAGAGGTGTCCCTGCGCTTCCTGCTCCCCACCACCCCGGCTGGTGCTGCAAGAAGCTCCCCTGGTCGGAGCCAGAGGTCAAACCCACTGCAGGCTTGGGGTGGTCCCCCCTCCCGACTGGCATCTTCTCGGCATGCTGGGGTTCCCGAAGGCACTGACCCTGGCCACAGCACCCTTGGTCGCTGCCCACATGGCCCAGAGCGAGGGCTCCCACTTGGCAGTGGACTCCCAGGAGCGGTGCAGGTGGGCGGCTCCAGAGCCAAGCCCTGCCAGCTGCTCACAAGGAACAAGCCAGCGCGGGGCTCCAGCGGCTGGGTGCGGGTGCCAAGGCAGGCCAATCCACCCGGACGGCAGGCCGGGCCGCTGGCACCAGCTGTGAGCCCTGCCCTTCTGGAACCACGTCTGTGTTCAGTGGGGCAGTGGGGCTGCGGGAACCAGTGTTGAGAGGGGCCCCAGGCCCCACAGGGGCTGGATCCAGCATCGGGCCAGCTGCAGCGGCCCCTCCCCCTCCAGGGCTCGGTCTCCCGTGAAATGTGAACAGACCAGGCCGCCTCCTCACAGGGTTTTGTCCTGAGGAGGATTTTGGGGGGATTATAGGAGACAAAAGAACCTGAAAACTCTTGGTAAAGCATAGAGGGCCAGATAAAAACAGCAGATCTTTATCGGCCAAATTCTTCCTTTTCAGGGCCACCAACCACGGGGGCAGCTGTTGTGGAGGCTACGTGTGTGCATGTGTGTGTGTGTGGGTCAGGCACGTGTTTCCCTGCAGGAAAACCGGAGAAGCAAGCTTGCTTAAGAAACCAGCAACACAGTCCCTGCCCTGGGCTATGAGGGCCTGGCCCACAAAGTGCACAGTCAAGGTGAGGCCCAACAGAGCCGCCTTTCTGCTCCTGGCTGGGTCAGGTGTTTCCAAGGGGAGAGGGAGGTGGGGAGCAGTGCTTGGAGAGGACAGAGGAGGGGGGCTTATGGGGCCTCACTGCCCCTGAGGGGTGGCTGAGGGGCATACAGCCTCCAGCCAGCACCCTTGACTCTGCCTTGTGCCCTCCATATCTCTGTGGGAGTCACTTTGAAGGTTGGGGATCCCTCACCTTCCCTAGATGTGCGGTGGACAAATACCTCTGTTGGCACCGGCCGGTACACACCCGGGGTTCATGCCCTGCTCTCCACCCCACCCCACCCCACCCTTCTGCAGCCTGCAGGGGCCAAACCCGTGGAAGTATCATGGCCGAGCAGCGGTTGGAAGAAAAAGAGGAACTGGAGGCTGTCACAAGGCAGAGGGGAAACCACTAGCATCCCCCATTCCCAACGAAAAGGGCCCACATGGGGGGAGGGGGGATGAGTCCTGCCCCAACCCTGTAACTGCTTCTCAGGCTCCACACAACACAGGCAAGACTGAGGCTCCAACTCCGGAGCCCTGGCCTGTTCTTTGCGGGCCCCTCACACTGCTCACTAGCAGCTGGACCGAGACCCTGGGGAGCGCCGTCAGCCTGGGCCACAACCTGGGGCCTCCCCTTTGGGATCCCTGGTTGCCCAGCTCATTCAGCAAGATGGCGCAGGGCCTGCTTCTGGAAGCCCCCCAAGCTGCTTCCTCTGTCACACTGGAGACCCAGGAAAACACAACCCCCCACACATGAAGCCATTACCCACAGCCAGGCATTTGGGGGCTTCTATTTAGAACGTAGGAAAATATTGCATACTGTTTCCATGGCAACTGGGCTTTCTGAGCAAAGTGCCTGGCTGTGTACTCTTGTGGGGCACGTGAGCCAGCCCTGTGGGGGCCCACGAGAGGGGCCTGGGCCTCCGCCCGATGGCTTCCCGCAGCCCCACAGTGGTGCTCATTAACTGACTTAGCAAAGCCAGGCTGAAATAGTCGGGGAACCCCGCCAAACGGAGCAGAAACTCAGCAGACCCTCACAGCGCCCCAGCTGCCCCCTCTCGGTGACAATGTCCAAATTAACAGCAAGTGGCTTGAGCTACAGTTGCGGCTGCAGAAAGGGGTATCGGGGTCCCAGACTGTACTCACTGTGGACCAGGACCCACGGCTGGCACGGAGAGGCCTGCCCTCTCCTCCCCAGCCTTTTTCTTTCCTAGACTGCAGATCACAGAGACAAGGGCACCATGTGTGTGTGTGTTGGTGTTCGAGTATGTGTGAGTGTGAGTGTGTGTGCGAGAGAGAGAAAGGCCTGAGAGGGTGTGGGGAGAAGAGGCAGCCACCCTCAGCCCCAACCCCCCCAACCCCCCGCAGCACACAGATCTCTGTTCAGATGTGCAGACATCGGCGGGGTGCATGTCCACAGGGGATCCTGACTTTGCCAGCACTGGAAGCTCATTTCGACTTTGCATTAGTGGAACCCCATTTCCTGTCATGTGGCCCCGCAGCACCCAGGTGCAGGCGGGCGAGGAGAAGGGTGCCCCCCCCCCGCCCCGCCAGACACTCCTGCACAGCCTTCTGCTCTGCTTGGCCGGGTCTGGGTGGATTCTCTCTTCCATTCCACTCCGTCAAGGGAGGCTCCAGGGATGCAGCTGCTGGGGGAGCTCTCCTGGGGCAGGGGCCCTGTGATTTCACCATAAACGTTTTTCTTTTTTGTCACTAAGAAAGACTCGTTCTCCCTGGCACTGTGCAGAGAGCCTGGAACACGCCAGGCTGGGAGGAATAGAAAAGAAAGCAGAAACGCCAAAGCTGACAAAGCCCCTCTGGAAAGGCCCCGGGCAGGCCAGGAGCAGGACAGCCCCAAGTTCCCACACTGCCGGGCGGCCAGCCCAGCTGAGGACGGCCTTGTCAAGAAGGTCCTTTCATCCCAGCCCTCAGGGCCTGTGGGTATTGGAGCAAGCAAGGGGCGGGAGGACTCTAAGTCTGGCCACATCCACCCTTCTGGCTGGCATGGACCCTCCCCCAACCTTGTGGGAGACCCAGCTCCCCCCTGCCAAGGGCCTGAGGCCAGGGTGCAGAAGGTGAAATCTGATTCTCAGGTATGCGGGCTGGCGAGGGAGTGACACAGGGGCCATTAATCAAAGGCAGAAGCCAAAGCGAAAATTACAGCACGGAGATGAAATGACGTACTGAACATGCTTCTTTCCTCTTGCAGCCCCCAAGCTGGGTCGAGTCCTCACAGGCCCACTCCTGAGCGTGTGTCTATGGGTGGACACAGGCAGACTGTGGGAGAGGGGACTGGGCTGAGAGGTGCAGGGCTGGCCAAGTTCACTAACATGCACATCTCTCCTGAAGGTGTCAGATTTCAATCCTCCTCCAGGGTCTCCACGGCTCCCTCCCACCAGTTAATAATAACGTGGCCAGAAGGTGCTAAGAGGGTGTGCTTCCTTCCCATCAGCGCAAGATTCTCATTATCTCAGAGGCAAACACCACGTGGGGAGAGTGGGCAGCTGGAGGCCCAGCTGGGCCCCCACCCCCACCCCTTCCCGGCCCACTGAGGTACTTCCTTCCAGTAGCAGGTCCAGGACAAAAGTCCTCCTTGTGCTTTGGTTTCCGCTCAGAGGCAGGGGGAGCCTGCTGTCAGGGGGGTGCTGCTGCTGCTGCTGCTGCTGCTGCTGCTGCTGCTGCTGCTGCTGCTGCTGCGGCCTCCGGGCCGGTGCCTGCACACAGGTCGGCATCTTCGCGCTGGCAGCCAGACGGTGGCTTGCTGCTGAGAGTCATTCGCAAACTCATCTGTTCCTCCTGTGGTCCCTTCTCAGCTCTGAATCTTACTGCTGAATCCAGCTCAGGAACCAGGAAGGGGTCTAGAGTCACCCCCAGCCGGGAGAGACCTCCTAACAGGCTTTCCTCTGCATTCCCACTGAAGTGGCACAAAACCCAAATGCCTTGTCTTGATGAAGCAGCTCCCAGGGCCTCCCAACTGGCCTGCCCATCCCACCGGCCTCTCCTTCAGGGCCCCCGTACATGGCTGATGCTCTGTCCTTGGCTGCATCTGTGAATGCTGGCGCCGGCTGTGCTCACTCGCTGGACACTGGACGTGGGAAATGTGCCCACTGGCCAGGCGAGGTCACAAGAGGCTCGCAGAAGTGAACTTCTCCCAAGACCCTGATTCCAGCAGAGCCAAGATGGAACACCCAAGGCCCTGGCGGGTCCTCAGCAGGTATAAAAGTTCACTAATACGCACATCTTAATCCCCCTCCTGGGCCCCCCTGAGGGGACCCTGCCCAGCAAGGGCTGGGGAGGAGGTTTGCTCAGCAGGCTCCAGGCCACTGCAAACAGCACCGGGAAGATGGGGATATTTCCATTTCACGCTGTCTGTGGAGGAAGAGAGGTGCTTGATTTTGGAGCCAGAGGCTGCTCCTGGAGAGTGTGCCACTCCTGCGAAATTTGCTGGGCCTACCCGTGGAGTGTGATCGCATCTTTCTGTTGCCCAGCTGGCCCTCCCTCCTGCCTGAATCCTGTAGCTGAGGCAGGGACCTGTTTTCCAGGCCAGGCAGCTGGGAACAGGGGCAAGAATGCTGTCTTGGGCCCCCCATCCCTGCCTCTCCAAGACTGAGCAGAGGGGGGAAGGAGGCTTGAGAAGCACCCCTTGGAAACTTTTAAAGCTGCAGACCAGTCTTTAAATATGGAGTGCCCCTCCCCATCCGAGTATCAGATAAAGATGGAGCCGCTCTGGTGGGAGCTCACAGCAACCCCACAACCCAGCCCAGGCGGTCCCTGATACTGCGGTGACCACAGCAGGGCAGGGGAGGTCACCCAGGCTCCTTGCATGACGCACTCAGGATGTGACACCAGTGTCTTAGGCCCCTCTCCAGAGCCCCCTCTTGCAAGGCACTGATATTCCCCTGCAGGTCCTGTCATGGGGGGGTGGGGCGAGGTGTATCTGAGCCATAACCTCCCCCGAAGGGTCTTGGCGCTGAGGAGTCCTCAGAAGACAGTCTCAGGGAGAGGGAGGAAGTGGACAAAGACTATTCTTCGAAGTCCTGTCTCAATGGCAGCCGGGGGACCTTGGTGCTCCCCAAGACCGTCGTGGGAGACACTGCGCAGACACGTTTGCGCGGACACTAGAAAGCCTGGCTGGCAGCTCTTCCCCCCACCGCCTCCCTGCCCGCGCCACGCGTCCTGTCCCCTCCGGGCCCTTCCCTGGTTAGACTCCACGCCGCTCAGTTTTCCACGGCGGAAATGCCTTCTCTCCCCAGGCGCCTGGCGGGGAGGGAGGGCGGGGGTGCCGGAGGGGCGGTGTGCACCCAGGCCGTCCCTTACAAAGCGCGCCCGGGGTGCCGGAGGGGCACCGGGGGAGTCTCCCCGCGGGTGGAGGGGGCAGCTGAGCGAGGGCCACGGAGAGGAAGGAAGAGGGAGGGGACACGGAGTGGGTGAAACCCAGGCGCCCAGCCTCGAAACCCCGAACCTGGAACCCCGAACCCCCCGGACGTGTGGCCAGGAGGGTTCTGGTTTATTTCCACTTTGTCTTTCACCACTTTCTGACGCTCCAGTGCAGGTACAGAGCAGCAGCGCGTCCTCGGCCCCAGGCAGCCCCCGTTTGGGATGAAATCAATAGTCCTTCTGCCAACGTTGGCACCAACCGCCCCCCCCCGTCCCCCGCCCGTCCCCGCCCATCACAACCCACCGCCCCACTTTGGAGAAACTACGTTCAACCTTCCTCCCATCCCCCACCTGGGACTCGACTCTCAGCCCCTCCCCCTTGATTGGAACCAGACGCAAACCCCCACCACCAATGTTCCTCCAACTTCTTCAGCCCAGCCTTCTCCCTTTATTTGGGGGCTAGGCTCCTAGGGACCCTATACTTTTGGAAAAGCCCTTGAGCGCTTCCCCACTTAAGGGCCAGCGACTCAGACCCCCCACCTCCCTCACTTTGGACTTCGGGGTTCGGCTGCCGCTTTAGGACCCAAGCCCCCTCTCCAGTTTGGGATGGATGACCATGCCCGACTCCGATCCCGGCTCTGCAGCCCCGGTGCATCTCCGCAGTCCGCGGAGCCCACAAGGCGTGCTCGGTCCCCCGCCTGAGTGCCCCCCCCCCTTCTCACCCGAGCCGGCGTCAGCAGGATCTCAGCGGCCGGGCCGGGGGCCGGGGACGCGGCCGCGGCCGCAGCCTTGTCGGCCTTGTCGCCCTTTATGCCGGCCACGGCGGGTTGGAAGCTGATCTTCACCATGGCTGCTCCGGGCCGCGGTCCGCCCTGCAGGCTCTGCCGGTGCAGCCTCGGCTGGTGCAGCCTCTCGGTGCAGCCGCGCTCCGCACTCTGCAGGCACCGGAAGTTTGGATCCCGCTCGCGTCCAATCTCTAACCCCACCTCCAGCCCCCACGCCACCGCCCCCAACGGGGGGGGGGGGCTGCCTTGGCGCCCGCTGCGCCTGCGCCCCCTTCCTGCCCGCTGGGTGAGCAGTGACCCCTGCTGGGCGTGGGGCTTCAACCTGGGGAGCCCTGAGGTTCACTCATTCACCCACTCCATCATCCATTCACCCAGGCATGGACTCAGCCCTCTTACAAGCTATATCCCTTTCAGCTCCCTCTCCAAGACCACAGTCCCCAGAACACAGTCTGTTAAAACTGTGTTTGGTAGGTAAACGCAGGTTCGAGACAAGTTCCCAGGCTGACTCCCCGCCCCATGCCACTTGGCACACTCCTCTTGGGACACTCAGAGCCTCCACTGTTCCCGCTCCCCGCTCCCTGCTCTGGTTTCTCCGGGCCCTGGGAGGAGGCTGCAAGGCCAGGCAACTGCTTGCTTGCATCCTGCATCTTGCATTCATTCACACCTCCAGTCCCTTTTCCTTCATCCTTCATCTCTGCAAAACCCGGCTGAGGGTCCCTGAGATGCATGCAGAGGATGCTGGGAGTTGAGGAATGAAAGCAGCCTGCAAAGTGTTCAGGGCAGCTGTCCTTAGGCTTGGTTTCCAGTTGACACTCTGCTCCTGCAAAGCGCCAGGAATATTGGGCCTTCTTAGGTATCTCTTGGCACCAAAGGCTGGGGGTGAGGTGAATCCCCTGGTTCAGGCTGGACTGGGGACATCGCCCAGCAAACCACACATAGCCCTGGGCTGAACACTTTGGCCGTGCGGTTGGAAAGGCAGAGAAGTCTGAGAGCTGTTTGAGGACAGTCCAGCCCTCCACTGACGGCTCCTTCCTGGGTGTCTTGGTTGGCTGCCTTGAGCCCCGGGTACAAACTCAAAGACCCGACATCCTAGCTCAGGTCTCAATGAACCTGAGGATGCAGCCTTGAGGAGAGACAAATTCAGAAGGAAGTAGTTTAACTGATATGAAGGCCACCAGTCTGGGGAATGGGGAGGAGCATGGGGGGATGGAAGAAGGTTTGGAGGCGGCCAAGAGGATTTGGTGTGGATGAGGACCAGAGAGGAGGTGCTGTTGACCTCTGGGGTGATCTCGATTGTGGAGAAGCAAAGCTCCCAGCCCTCGGCTACATTTCCACCTCCAACATTTAACCCTGGGCTCAGAATTGGTTTCCTGAGTGACCCCGTGTGCCAAGCATGTGGCACAAAGCCCAAGACCCAGCAACCAAGGGCCTGATTGCGTTTATCCCTCCATCTGCCAAATTCTCTCCCATGTGTTATCTCCTCCCATTTTCATTCCAGCCCCTGAGTCCTTCCGGTTCCCCGTTGCTGGTGCTAGAAACAAGGAGGACTAAACCCAGGTCCGTCACAGAACCATCAAGGGGCAGATCGCTGGCGGGCAAGGCAGGGCCATCTGCCTGAAGTGCCCGTGTTCCTGCGGTTGACACACAGACCCCCCTTCTGCGGGAGGCCTTCCCCGAACTCTCCGGCCTGAGTTAAGTCCCCCTTCCCCGCACACCCTAGGCACCGTGTGTGCCTTTCCTTAGCCTTGGCCTTGGGCCCCGCACCAGCCAAGCGCCAGGCCCACGTCCTGCTGCAGTGATCCCTAAACTTCCTGGTCGCAGGCCCTCACAGAGCTTTGATTTATGAGGGATGTCTAGCAACATTTACCAAGTAGAAATAAAACTCAGAAAAATTTAAAACACCAGAGAACACCTATTTCATTAGCTGTCAAAGGAATGCCACCATAGGTCATGCAGCTTCTAGAAAAGTCCACTAATGAGAGAAAAAGATTGAAGAAGGAAATAATATCTTAGTGTATTGCGAGAACGGGTCTGACCGTGCAGACTTCCGAGGCGAGCCTCGGGGACTCCTGGGCTTTCTGGCCCACACAGAACTGCTGCTCTGGTCGATGCCCGAGGGTCCACGGTGCGAAATTAGGAGTGATTTCCCCCCTTACACCTAAAGCAACCGTGTGCCTGACAAAACAGAGTCTTGGAGCTGGTGGAATGCATAATCGCCAGTCAGCAGCCCACGGGGTCCTGAGGCTGTGTGAGATTAACACCCACACTCAGTTTTGTGGGTTCAGGTAAGAACCGCAGAGTGAACTCGGGGGCTGGGAGGAGCAGCCAAGGCCCCATGGAAGATGCCAGGTCTAGGCAGGAGCTGGAAGGATAGGGTGTGGATGGGTGACAGGGACGTGGGAGGTATACTGGTGGGGGAGGAGCAAGCTGGGCTGGGTGCCCTTGTCCGGCATTTCAGCCACAGCCAGTCTGTGTCCTCTGTCCTTTTGCCCAAGTGATGAGCACCTCCTGCTCATCTCCCTGGTGCCAGGGCCTGCTCAGGTGCTGTTGGGGGAGGTGACACCATCATGCCCTTGGGAACCAGCGGGCCGCCTCCTCTTCTGGGCAGCCCATGCGAATGAATGGTGGCCTTAGGAGCTAAGCAACGAGTGAGTGTGGCTTCATCCTCAAAGTCATCCTCAAAGTGAGGACCCTGACCAGCAGCATGCCAGCCCCGGGGGACTCGGGAAGAAGACAGACGACCTTCTTGGTGAACTCAGGGAAGGCTCTACATTTTGACAAGCCCTCGGGGTTCTGCTGTGCACTCCAGTTCGAGGACTACTGCTCTCTCCACTGCACCCACACTCCCGCTGCCTTCCTGTCCTCTCCAGACTGCCCGCTCCTTGGCAGCAGAGTGCCCCACTTTCCTCACAGAGAGTCTGGAAGCCATCCTGTGAGAACGCCCTCATGCCGGAGGCAGAGTTACCCGCACCAGCGGCTGCCCTTGTGGCCGCGGTGGTCCCTCCAGGCCCCTCAGTTTGGAGGAGACATCTTTGGTCTTCGCTCTCCTCTCAAACCCATCCTACCTTCTTTGCGAAGATGCCACCCCTCCCATCATCTCGGATACCCGAAGGCCTGGGTCATCCCCCACCCCCAACCCAGCATGTCCCTCTGCTCCTGCATCAGGTCTCCTTCCTTCGAGTCAGCTGTAAAACATGCTTGTATTAACCTTGGAGGAAAACAAAACACTTTGGCCCCTTGTCCCCTGAACTTGTTACCCACCCGATTTCTCTCATTTTCTTCTTGGCCAAACTTCTAGAATATTCGGTCTCCATCTTCTCATTCCTACCCATAGTCGTTCTATCTGGATCTGGCTTCTGTCCTCACACTGCCACCTGGTTCTTGACCCTCATCTTGCTCGGGGTGCCTTTGGGCTGCTGGGCCACACCCTCGCCTGTGACTCCTCCATCGACTGAGCTGAGGAGGGGATTGGCCCCAGTGGGAAGGTCTCCTGGAACCCACCCTGCCCCCACAGCCATTCATTTTAACAGCCAAGCCCCAGATGTGACCTTTTGCATGTGTTCACCTCTTTCTCCAAACCGCATAGTGGAGGCCTGTTCTTAGAGGATGCCTGTCTATTACAACACACAGAACTGGTGGTTTGGGACTTGCAGTTACAACTGAGCCTTGGGGGATCTGTGGGGTGTCCTCCTGGAAACTCGATGACCTCAGCTGAGGGTGGAGCCACCACCCTCAGAGCCCTGTCCACTCCCCAGAACTCAGCTCGCCTTGTGCCTTCAGGTCTGCCCCGTTCGACCGGCCTCTCCTCGTTTTCCTCAGCCCACCAGCCTGTGGCCACCGCCATCCAACTCTGTTTCCATGAGTTTGACCACTTGGGATCCCACCTGGACACGGGGTGATACGGTATCTGTCTTTCTTTGTCTGGTCGCTTTCACTTGGGAGGATGTCCTCCAGGTTCATCCGCACTGTCACAAGTGGCAGGGTTTTGTCCTTTTTTACGACTAAGTAAGTGCGTGCCCCACTGTGCGCACATGCTCCACGTCTCTCCATCCAATCCTCCGTCAAAGGGCACAGGCTGCTCCCACAGCTTGGCCACTGCGGACAATGTCCCAGTGATCGTGGGACTGCGCCTGTCTTTTCAAGACACGGACTTCATTTGCTTTGTACACAGTGGGCCCAGGGGTGGGGTGGCTGGGCCCCGTGGGGGTTCTTTCTTTAAATGTTTGGGGAGCTCCCTTGCTGTGTGCCATGATGGCTGCCCCTGAACACTACAGTGAAGAGATCGAAGAGACAGTTCCTCTGAAAAATCAGGAGAAAGAGGCAAATCTCTGGAAAATCTAATCAATAAGAGAAAATATTCATAGGAGAAAGAAGATGCAAATGTACCTAAGGTGGATATTACAAATTATGATGTATTATATACAGTCATATCTTGTAAACATGAATATTCCAAAGTGGATGGTTTTATGGAAAAGTGTAAATGGCTGAAATGGACTCAAGAGACAGAAAATCATAATGCCCTGTAATCAAGGAAATTACTGGAAGGCGTTCTCACACAATTACCTCAAACAATGGCTCTAAATGGCTGGACCACTTAACTGGGTAGTTCTTTCAAACGAAAGGGACAGCTTGTCCTATTGATGATTCAGTTAACTTTAGGCGTAGGCTGTATATTCTGACACAAAAATCTGACAAATGAGAGAGACATAATAATGTTAGTCATGAACAGAGATACAAAAATTCAATGGTACATTAGAACGGTGGAGTGCCAGCAAGTAGAACTTCTAGGAATAAAGATATGATTTCAGGTTTGAAAATCTATTGGGGGAGAAGTTGCTTGGCAAAATAATACTTAAAAGTAATAGCTATTCAAACTTGAAAAGAATGAAGAAAATAGAATATTAGGAGAATGCCCACAAAACCACTATTAATACTTTGTTATATTTCCTCCAGTATTTTTTACTGTATATATGAATGTGTGTTGTGTCGTCCCCCCAACCCCCAGAACTGGAACAACAGTGTTTGCGTGTGTGTGCGAGTGCACATGTGTGTATTCCCAGCTAAGGGTGATCTTGACCTTTAGGCAACATTTTGCAACGTGTGCCGCGACTTGGGTTTGGGGGGTTGGTAGGTGCTACTGGCCTCTAGTGGTTGGAAGCCAGAGCTG